TCACCATCGTACTATCGCGTTTTCATCATCGTACTGTCGTGTTTTCATCATCGTACTATCGCGTTTTCAACATCGTACCGTTCGTGTTTTTCATCATCGTACTATCGCATTTTCATTATCGTACTATCGCGTTTTCATCATCGTACTATCGTGTTTTCACCATCGTAGTTTCGTGATTTCGTGTTTTCACCATCGTACTATCGACTATCGAGTTTCAGATTAACACATTCATAGGCGATGGCCCTAACGGCATTCCGGAATGCCGTTAGGGCCATCGCCTATGAATGGTTTGATCTGAAACGCGATACTCGACAGTACGATGATGAAAACGCGAAATCACGAAACTACGATGGTGAAAAACGCGACAGTACGATGGTGAAAACACGATAGTTTTGTCGCGTTTTCATCATCTTAGTATCGTACTGTCGCGTTTTCATCATCGTACTATCGCGTTTTCATCATCGTACTTTCGCGTTTTCACCATCGTAGTTTCGTGATTTCGCGTTTTCACCATCGTACTATCGACTATCGCGTTTCAGATCAACACATTCATAGGCGATGGCCCTAACGGCATTCCGTAATAATCGCCGTAAACAAGCTGTTTATTTACGTATGACATCATAATTTACACTGAATATCATGTTATACTATCCTATGATGTCACAAAATTAAAACGAGAGATTGCATTAAAATTACATCTTTTAGCAACTTTTATTCGAGTAGCTTTATCATCATGAAATCAAAGTGCTCCGTGGTTCGTTGATCATGTTGCCATGGTGATCGGCGCTTTGCGAATATTACTTTTATCATGTTTTTTTAATTTAGAAATATGTAGCAGATAAATACTTAAGTAAAGTATTAAATCATCATATTGATATGTCTGCTGCTTAAAATAATTTTATAGCCTTGTCTACGAACTTTCCGGACAGCCCTCGTATATAGGGAAACTGCTGACCAGTTAGATATATAGAGAAAAATATATTTTGCCGTGAAATTGTAATTCATTTTTATTATGTATGCAAATTCAATTTATTTTATAAAATTATGTCGACATTTAATTAAGTAAAAACACTGCTGACCAATTTAATGTTATTTCAAATTGATTTAAGCCGTAAAACTCTTCTTATTCTATATGGTTAGCAAATTTAACGCTCTTTACATTCAGGCGAGAAAATGCTGACCAGTTAAACATATACACATGTTAGTAGAATCTGCTGACCAGTTAGATATATAGGGAAAACTGCTGACCAGTTAGAAATATAGAAAAAAATATATTTTGTCGTGAAATTTTAATTCATTTTATAATGTACGAAATTCAATATATTGTATAAAATTTTTGTCGACATTTAATTAAGTTAAAACACTGCTGACTTATTTAATATTAATTCAAATTGCAATTATTGCTTTTGAAAATACATTTTTTTTTCCGTTACAAGATTTTTCTATTGAAATATCACTAACAAAGAGATTTTGATAAAACTTCATAACATCATAATTCTTTATAAAACATTAATTCAAATTTTTGCATATCTTTAGAGGTATAAAAAGCTGTTTAATATATCCTTTTAAAATCACGGATTTATATTACATGTAGTAATGTAAATCCGTGTTTAAAATGTATGATATTATGGTACTTTAAATGTATATATTAATTTAGTTTATGAACATAGTCATATAAATGCAAAAATTAAAAATATAATTAAAAGAATAAAAGTAATTTCCCGTCTTTTTATTACCCCCTACGGCGTGTTTATATAACTTCACACCTTCAATGTTTCCTTCTTTGTGTAACTGGTCAGCATTTTCCGATAATCCTTCTTTATTTAACTGGTCAGCAGTTTCCTATATATCTATATCGTCAGCTAATTCGTCAGCAGTTTAGTGCGACCCCTTCCATGATCGCACCGTTTGTCGGTGAGTTAGTAAATTCTGACCAAGCACCGGTAGACGCACGACAATGCGATACGATATTATTCCAAATGTCGCTTCGCATTGTCGAGTGTCGCTTCGCGTTGTCGAGTATCGCTTCGCGTTGTCGAGTGTCGCTTCGCATTGTCGAGTGTCGCTTCGCAATGTTGAGCGTCGCGGTGTAAAAATCATAAAAATAACGCGACATTTACTCGACATTTTTAAAAATGTCGCTTCGCGATGTCGAGTGTCACTTCGCATTGTCGAGCGTCGTATCGCATTGTCGCGTTGTCGTTTCGCATTGTCGAGTGTCGTGGTATGCACTTCTACCAACCTCGACACTCGACAATGCGAAGTGACAATGCGACAACGCGAAGTGACATCGCGACAACGCGAAGTGACATCGCGACAACGCGAAGCGACGCTCGACAATGCGAAGCGACACTCGACAACGCGAAGCGACATTTCTTAAATATCGCCCTTTTTTACCGCGACATTTCTAGGCGACAGTGCGACATATCGTTTGACACTGTCGAGCGTCGCTTCGCATTGTCGCATATCGCTTCGCGTTGTCGAGCGTCGCTTCGCATTGTCGCGATGTCACTTCGCATTGTCGTGTGTCTACCCTTAGACGCGACGGACGACATTCTAAATGGCACGATAAGGACACCGTACATAAGGGTTAACAAATGTCCGTCGATGTTTACTGCTTCGGAAAAAAATCTCTTTTTTTCAATTTTTTTAATTAGTTTTTACATTGTTATCAAAAAAATGGTTATATTTCCGTTATTGTCTTCTCAGGTTCATTTTATAGTAAACTAACGCGGATGAAATAAAGAAATGGAACCCCATTAACCCCCAAAAAAGGATAAAGTAAAAAGAAATTTGTTATACCTTTCGCCCTCTTTAAAATGAAATGTCATAAATAAAGATTTTATATGTATGTTGTACATATATTTTTCTCGTTTGGTATTATTCTAAGTCATAGCATCGTTATGTTATGACGTCATAATGATGGAACCCCACTTAACATTAAGAACAATAACCACGCTTAAAATAAACATTTTGCATACGGTAGATTTAATTTTTTGGGAAAATGGAAAATGAGATAATTATCTGCTTTTCTTAGTTGACTTATTCACTGACATGTTACTGTTTAATGTTGACGTTCCGTGTTGAAAAATCACATATCTTTACCTCTTTGTTTGTGTGTGAAATATATTTCAATATACACATGTAGTTATATATCCCATCTATTGTGCTCATTTACATGTCAACCTTTAATCCATGATAACATCTCTTAATTCTCCTACCACTTACTCAATTTGTGTGAAATGTATAATAATTGAGCCGTGTCACGACAAAACCAACATAATGTGTTTGCGACTAGCATGGATCCAGACCAGCCTGCGCATCCGTGCAGTCTGATCAGGATACATGCTGTTCACAATTATAATTTGTAAGCGAACAGCATGGATCCTGATCAGACTGCGCGGATTCATGCTGGTCGCAAACCCATAATGTTGGTTTTGTCATGACACGGATCATATAATCCTTACAATTCGCTTAAACAGAATCCTTGTGTTTAAACTCTGCTTGAATAATATTTAGATATAAAAACTTTTTCCTGAAGATAAACTGATTCTTCTGCATTGCGGACGACATGATAGTTCAGTATTTAAAACAGATGTTTTCAAACTATAACAATCCTTTTTGCATGCTGATGGACCAACCACTTAGAGTTACATGTATAAATATATGCATACAGTTTTTTATGTTGCCGTCGTTTAATTTTACCCCTAACAACCCTTATATTTATTTGCTGGTATGAATATTTTTAATTAAAGGTCAAATAATAATTTTTCACACGAAAAAAGGCCCCAGGTTTATAGTAATTGTTGTTCATAGATAGCGGGCACAACATAATTGAATGACTTGAAGCTTAATGGCAATTTAGTGCCGAGTTTTCGAATAATTCCAGATCAGTTTTCCACCAAAGTTCTTAGAAATACATTTATCACATACATCGCGGCGCATGAGTGTAATATAGCCATTTAATAAAAACGATATTACACTAGTGTAATAACACTTTGACGTGACGTCATTTGCGCTATATAGAAACATAGCGTTAAAGCGCGCCAATGTTAGAGTTACACTATGTGCGCGTCATTGAAAAATTACTCACTTTTACAGTTTACTGTTCTTATTTTATATATGTGATAAATAGAACATTATATTCGTGTAGTTTCAATACTAAATTTATTAAACTCGTTCAATAAAACAATATTATGCCTGCCAGAGGCTCGCATAATATGTTTTTATTCAACTCGTTCAATAAATTTAGTATTAAACTACACTCATTCAATATCCTTTATGTATAACGTTTAAAAAAAAAATAATTAAAGAGAGACTATAAAGTGATTACATCTTACATCATTTACCCTTTTATTGTGTGTATCTTTGTAAATGTTCTTCCTTTGCTAAAATATTTTATTCTCTCCTTAACTAAGTTGTAACAAGGCTTTAAAGTTTTACCAAAGGTGTAATTTAAATACATCGTCTTTTTAAAACATACATTTACGTGTATACTGCATGTAAAATTTTACGAATGTATTGTAAATGTATAATAAACTATATTTAAATTATATTATGTTATAATGTGTATAGATCTACACGCACCTGAACTGATTATCGTGACTTTTAGGACAAGTCCATTGCTATTTACTTTGCATTCTTTTATATTATGTATTTGAACGCCTTTGTGACCGTTCATATAGCATACGGTGATTAAAGAACATATCCGCACGACACATAATTAGACGGAAAGTCCGAATGTCGTATTTTTGGTTATTTATCTAACGCTGTTTTATTGATATTTTCAGTCGTTATATGGCGGAGTTATATTGATATTTTCAGTCGTTATATGGCGGAGTTTAATTGATATATTCAGCCGTTAAATTTTACAGTGGAGTTATATTGATATTTTCAGTCGTTATTTGGGGGAGTTTTATTGATATTTTCAGTCGTTATATGGCGAAGTTATATTGATAATTTCAGTTGTTATATGGCGGGGTTATATTGATATTTTTCAGTCGTTATATGGCGGAAGACAAATAGACCCGGATGCCTCAGCAATACATTATCTGATCCAGCACGGAGCTGTCATCACACATCAAGATGATTACGGTCTTACGGCACTCCATCACGCGGCGTTACGCGGTGACGAGGTTGCCTGTCAACAACTTCTCTTACATGCCACAGAAGAAATGCCACTTATACATGTATGTTTATATTTATATTTATAACCTTTTCTAGTAACGCATATTAGTTTTATGTGTGGATGGTTTAAACAAATTAATGCGATATATTAAAATTTTACTCGATGAACAATATTTACGTTAAAGTTTAGTTTTATAGGCTATTTGTTTTTTTTCTTTGAAAATTAACACGAATAAAGTTTTCAATGACAAATTGTTTTGAAAAATGTGTATAGTATTTAGAATGTCACTTTAGGTAGCACAGAGATGTTATTAACAAAATCATTCAAAAAATAAATCGTGTGTACTCCCATTGTTTTTTGTTATGGAAACAAAACTTTGAAGTAGATAAATGTTGTTATTTTTTCTTTTTTGAAAGTTGACTATAAAGCATTACATTTTGTTTGGGTTACATATAGTTAAAAGGAAAGTGTTGCTCTTTTTATCAAGTCAGAAAGAAAGTTTTATTTAGAAAAATATGTAACAAATTATTGCATGTTTAAGGCAAAAGACATACAGCAGATGACGCCGCTTCATACCGCGTGTTGTCAGTGCGAGTCTGATATTGCCAGGCAGCTGATACTAGCGGGGGCGGATATTAGGTGTGTCGATGATGAACAGTCCACGCCCCTTCACGAGACAGCTACTGTTGGTGACACTAAAATATTGAGAGTGATTTTAGAGTCGTGCAAAAAGGGTGAACAATGGGACAAAAGCAAATTGGTATGAAAATACAACTTTTTTTCTAATCTTGATACAATGAAAGCTTATTCTGTAAATAAGATACAAATACATAAAAACTCATAAAAAATATGACTATAACTATAACTACATGTAGTCTGAAAAATGATAAAGATAAAAAAATTACTCTTTCATAAATTGTTAAGCAAAATCTTTCATAACGATTTGTAATAAAACTAATGACATAGAAACATACAAAGGCAAATTTCCTTTTCTGTAAAACTATCAAAAGCTAAATTCAATGAACATCAATCAATAAATGATGAGAAGGGGTACATTTTCAGGATACTATTATTTACATTTCAGGCGGAAGTGTTGTCGGACAAAGACGAGGACGGAAACACGCCATTAATGTTGGCAGTGGAGTCAGGAAGATACAAATTTGCCGTAAATCTGATTAATAAAGGTAATTCAAGAAGTTCAAATCAAAGAAAAATGTATATTCAAAAGTACTGCGATTGAAGATCATATATATCCAATTACAGAATGTTCTGACATATATAATGTACGATATAACTTAACAACAATATTTCGTGTATCAGAATGATACTGTCATTAACATATCAAATGTTGGGCGGAGAGTATTGTGTCACCGTTTATTATAGTAACTTAACAGTTTGTCATTTGACAGTCTCTGCGTAGTCAGAACGAACGTTGTCATAGTGAATGCATAAATTATCACATCGTTATCCACAAATAACTAGAAAATTGATAAAATAGTTAAAGAACTAGATAATAAATGAAATAGTTAAAGAACCGCTTTAATTAAGCTGGTGTGTAGGAAACAAGTCCACAAAACATAAGCCCAGTTTACTACTTTCTTCTAGGTGCAGCTATTAATACGACAAACAAATGGCACATGACACCGTTACATCTTGCCGCCATCAAAGGAGATATACGTATTGTGAAACTGCTGATAGAACAAGGCGCCAAAATAAACGCATTGAATCACGAACACCAATCACCATTACATAAAGCGGCTTTGTTTAACAATGAAGACTGCATATCATGTCTTTTAGATAAGTATGTATTTTAAAATGATCAATTTTATAATTAAAACCCTAGCTTCTTACTAGTTTTTGAGGGGCACTTAAATGTTTCAGTATTGTTTTTCTTATTCGTATAGAAGCTGTATGTTATAACATGTTTTCGATTTCCGGTTTTATTTTTTCCGGATATATTATTTTATGGCGCATGCGCAATTTGTGAGACATGATTTATGCACCGCGACGATAATAAGAAAATCAATGTGTACTAAAATTACATTGATTTATTCACATTTTCAGTCGAGAAATTTACGTTGAGCTCCATAAAGACGACTTTATTACAAATACAGTATCGGTGCATTCAATAATACCATTACCCTTCCCTAGTTTAACAAGTGCTCGTGAATGTTCTTTTTCTTCTGTAAATGCTTGAAATGTCTAGCATTTCATTCTACCCTATTAAGGAACTCACAAAAGTAACACAACCGTGTACACCATTGACTTTATGAATATCCAGTGATAGTTAAAACATCAAAATCATCTCCGTTTCAGTGGCGCCAACTTGGAGTCCAAGGATAAAGACAATTTTACGCCGTTACTTTTGGCGGCATGTTACGGCCATGCTAAATCAGTGGAGCTGTTGATAAACAGAGGAGCTGATATGTCAGTAGAGGACAAGAATGACAGAACTGCTGTATACCTCGCTGCTGAAGAGGACCAACTCGATGTTCTAGAAGTAATTTTATGTTTTAATAGCTTTGTTCTATTTAATACGATATTGTGCTCGATTATTTGAATTTGTACTCACCCAGGCATCGGCGTCGGCGTCACATATACGTTTTTGCATGCAAGCTGGTATCTTCAAAACTATCTAAGCGGATTGGTTGAAACTTCACACTCACTTATTTGAGAGGATAATGGAAGGTCACCATCTAAGACCCATAAAATTTACATGGGTTTTGACATATTTATGCTCATGTTTTAATACCCAATCGAGCACGCTGTTCAACTGACAGCTCTTGTTTGTTTATATTTTTACAATTGGATTATTCTTCTACTTTTTCATTTTCACTCACATAGCTGCTGTTGCAAAAGTTAAATATATCAACTTTCAAAAAATAAGAAAAGTTGTTACAATATGATCATGGCCTTTGTTATCATTTTGGAGAGAAAAATGTGAGTGTTGTGTAACAAACCGATGTTTACGAAATGTCATGTATTTTAGTGTAAATGTTTCTAGTATGGTCTACTGTATAATTATTTGACTGAGTCTGTTCTTTAGCCAGTTTTATAATACATATAGTTACATTATAATGAATCAAATCGATTATTGTTTTGTTAACTTAAAATACCCTGAATTTTAAAGCAAGCATATTTATTAGACCTTGTATTTTATATAACAAACAATAACCAACTTTCAAATTTTAAGGTAAGTACCACTAGGTAAAACTATTTTAAAATGATAATTATTCATGTCTATTGTTTCAGGTTTTATTACGTCATAACAAAGAGAAATACATGGTAAATCATCGTGATGAATGCAGTAATGGGCCTCTACATATAGCATCCAAATTAGGTCATCTCAGAATTGTTAAGGTAAGACAAGAATACAGTATGGTTTGTAATTAATCTAAATTCTGTCAGCCGTAATGAAAGACATTTTTATGAAAGAACATCAAAGATTGGCTACGCACAATATAGAAAAGACAGGAGAAAAATATTGCCATCGCATATGTCCCAAATAAGCATCTAGAAGTCGTCAAAATCGAGCTAAAAATGGATGCTAATCGTAATGATTTTCATCAGTGAATGATTTTGCATGTTAACGTTGTTGCAGCAGACGGACAATGCTCGAAATATGACTGTTGTTGACGAAACAACATGTGAATGGATGACAATTGTGTGTTATTGATGATGTGGGAATAACAAAGGTTACTGTTACTGCGTCAGGAGGTCATATCATGGCAGACAGATATATACTACACGTGCTATTGAAGACATTGTGAACTGAGCTATGCATTGTGCATGTATTCTAATTGTTTTTCAAGTAATTTCTAGTAGTTACATGCTACCTTGTCTTTTAAAATTCATATTTTTACTCCTTGTTTACAGTGTTTGCTCAATAATGGCGCTGATCTGTTTTGTAAGAATGATATGGAACAAACTCCTATCCATATGGCATCTGTAAATGGGTGGACAAGGTAACCCTATCACATATACTTGTAATCCTATTTTTTATCGAGATATGAATCCCGTTAGTTTTTTGAGTTCTTTACAATTAAATTCGTCTGACATTGTTGGTAACCTCGGTAACTGTTTAATTTGCATATTGATAAATTAGGTAGATTTTTAATTATACATTATTTGTGTTTTCTATTAAAAAACAACGATTGTTTTATAACACAAAAGGTTGAGAGAAAACGAATTGGTTAATAATTAGACACCTTAAATACAAATGTCTCTGCTGATGCTTGGAAAGTTTTTATTGACCTTTAAAGGTCAATATTTTTCAGGCAATATTAATGATAAAATATATATTTCTTCTTATTTATTGCAGTAATATATAATAAAAAACGAATTTCTCATTGTTTTATACAAATCTATTTGAAGAATTGAAGATGGTGTGCTATAATCTTTATATTACTTATTTTCTTATATACATATCCATGTACTTATATTATATTGTATCATATCAAATGTTTGATCATAACAGTGTCGTTCGTGAGATTGTTAGCAAAGAGAAGAACACGATGAGTGATGGAGACGAGGATTCGAACACGGCCCTACATCTAGCTGCATCAGGAGGTCATGTCAAACTTGTTGAAACATTGCTCAGTCTGGGTGCTGAACCCGAAGTCAGGTATGTTAGGCTACTGTACTGTTAGAATTTTTTTTTAAGTTCAAAAGTAAAAAAAATAGAATGTTGTTCATTCTAAGATTAATACTCTTTCTCTATATTCTAGTTCATTTGTATTTGTGCTAAAATTTATGTTTAATTTCAGCTGTAAGGTTTTCTAGCTCACCGGATGGGGATAGAATTGATGCTAATATTGCTCCTAAGACATATTCATGTACAAATTAAAACAGTAAAAAATAAAACACAACACACAACTATTTAAATATAATTATAATGATTTATAATAAAACATCGGTAAAGAAGTAATTTGGATAAAGAAACAACACGTAGAAATAGTATTCTTTGTTGTTTATTTTTACTTATAAAAAATTAATGCCTTTATTTATAGAAACAGCGCGTTACGGACACCACTTGCTTGTGCCGCTGCTCAGGGATATATGAAAACAGTGAAAGTTTTGGCGGAATCAGATGCGATGATTGATGCCACAGACAAAGTTGACGTAATCCAAAACATCCTTTTATATTCTATAATGTCTCTTTAAGAAAGATTTTACGCAAGTTTGAATTAAAGTTGCAAAAATAAGACACATTTATGCAACTTTGCATTTAATAAACATGATTCTTTAAGCTAAAGATCATTAAAAATGAGTATGCTTGTTGTATTATAATTAAAAAAAGTTAAGATGAAACTTTTTTGACTATGGCTCATTTAAAAATGTACAAATTGAACTGATAATATCGTTACTATTTTATTTCAATTTTAGAATCATAAAAAATGCATGCATGTATAAATATTATAATTTCCTTATTGTTTGTTGTTTGTTTTTTTCAGATGACCCCATTGTTGTTAGCATCTATGAATGGTCATGCTAATGTAGTGGACTATCTTATTGTTAAAAAGAATGCTGACGTCACATTACGTAACCTTGACGGTCATAACTGCCTCGATCTGGCCGTAAAAGAGGATCACCAGTAATGTTTACTTTATTTCATCTTGCATGTCCTCCAATAAGCTGAATTGTTGCTTTTGTAAATTAATTACTTATATTCAAATTAGTCTGAAATTGCACTCAAAATAGGTTTTGATTATGATTGCTGAATTTTTGGACATACATGTAGTACTGTTCCAGGGTTCATAAAATGATCTTCCCATGAAACTTGGGTAACTTTATATTTATAATGATTTGATTACACTGAACAATAAGGTAATACATTATTAAAACAAAAGAAATCAGTACAGGTTATCACAAGCCAGTATATAGTTAAACATCTTTTTGTGAATAAATTGGTTAACTTTTTAATAATTGATAGTTTTAGAGAAATATTTATAGTTATTAAAACATCATGTCTCCAGATTCATGCTTATTTTCATGAAATTAAACAAATTTATTTAAAAGTAAAATGTGTTAATTACTCTATTCACTGCACAATATAGGTACTTATTACTTACGAAGTTGCTCACAATGAGGGACAGATGTGTATTGCGGTAATACTCTTTATTTCTTATATAGGGATGTTGCCATGGAAATTGTCAAATCTAGTTCCTGGAAGCACGCTCTAAGAAACACTGTCATAGAGAAAGGGATGGTTAACACACCACTTAGAAGACTTATCAGGAAAATGCCAGGTATGAAAATCCTCTTCATCATAAAACCATGCTTATAACATTATAAAATTATGATTGAAAAGAAAAGTTATTTCAAATGTTTGCTATACATTTGATTAATGTAAAATCTTGTTTGGGTGATTCATATGATAATGCGGTATCTTTTTTAATAAACGCAGACACGATGTAATATATTTTTTGCGTCCCAATTTGGAAGAAAAAAGGAATAAAAGTTGTTAGAAATAGTATATTATTGAGCCCTTGCTGCTTTCAGGCAGTGTCTCTTTCTGACAACTCTTTCAAACAACTTTAATAATTTCTATTTTCAGAGGTTGCAGAAGTTGTATTCGATAATTGCATTGAGGTCAACAAACCGGAAGATGGTAGTCAGGCGAAACTGAATCACCGGCATAAGGTGGAGTTTAACTTTGAGTTTCTAGACGACCTGTACAGTATACACGAGTGGAGGAAAAAGCGGACAAACAGACGACGAGAGAAAATGAAGATTAAAGATAGTATGATATTTACATTAGCAATATTATAACGCTTATTAAAGATATAATATGCTCATCTTTAAGTGAAATATTTTTATCACAGAAATTTATTGAAATCTATAAAATTCTTACTGAATTTATATGTCTAGTTTGAATAAAAGAATGAATAAACGATGTGTGGCTATTCAAGATCAAGTAAAGTTGGTCATTTCTTAAAAGAACTGCCATGTTTTAATGACACTAATTATTCATAATGTTATCATTCATAATGTGTAGGATTTTAAACTTGTGTGAAGTCAAACATGTTTATTTGATATTTACAAAGAGACTGTGTAGCAATTATCAATATTTTCTAATGTCAAATTTGAGCATGGTATATCTTTAACGAATATATGGTTTACGGAAATAATCTAAGATTCACTCAATAAAGCATGCAAGTTCTGCTTCCGCTGTACTGTTTTGATCAGATTAAGTTAATAAAAACTTCATGCTTGAAAATTTCAGTTGTGAATGGATTCTTGTTTTTAAGAAATGTGGTTTTGAGTAGTTCTACGTCATTGATATAGTTTTGTATGGTTATGAATTGGTGATTACATTTAATGCTAATTGTGCTGAAGGTCTGCATTCTTCTGTTTCAAACGTCGGGTGCATTTTAAAGTCATATCATTTCTCATTAAAGTACGTAATTATGTGTATGTGAAAACTGCCAAATTTGCTTGCATTTACATGTATGTTAAAACAATGTAATGACCTTGCACTCACCAATAAGATACCTTGTTAAAACATGCAAAAGTAAAGCCTTTTCTAAGATAGCTTATTTCTTTTAAAGATATATTTAGAAATGTATAATCCTGAACATTTTGTATGGCATGGCGAATATACTACTGAACATTTGATAGGGATTTTTTAATAGTTTAACATATCACACTTTATCAATTGATACCTGTATATTAACAAAAAACTTGTTTATCTAATGAAAAATAAAGTATAATCTGACACGAAAGCTTATGAGTCATAACTCACTCATAAGTTATTCAAATTTTAATAAGAAAATCCCTATCAAAGATTGAGTAGTATGTTTATACAATGTATATGTATGATGCATGAAGATCATTGCCTTGCTTTTATATTGATCTTATTTATATCATCAGTGTGGGATAGATAATCGCATGTCACGTGATCAACCGGACAGAGATACAGTTATTAAATCAGATCTGCAAGAAATCAAGAACGGTTACTCTTGAATTTCTTTTAAGTTGTCTGTCTATTACATGTATATAGATTGCATGCTTCATGATTTAATGCTACTTACGTTACAGCTGGAAAGTTGGAGCCCGAGAAGGAAATATTAGACGGATTCGACTGGGATAAACTTAAACCATTCAAACCTAGAGGTAAAAATGAACTATTTTTTTTATTTAAATGGTTCCTTTTTTCAGAAGTGCAGTTTCAGATACAGTGAAACGAAGGTAAAGCGGACTCGCCGAGACCTTGGCATTTTGTACGCTTTATCTGAGGTTTCTTATAACCGTTATAACGAATAAGTATTTTATAAATGACCAAGATATTGCGAACATAACTATATAACTTATGGCTTATTACATGCACCACGTAACATTTTTAAATGCAATGAAACATGATTATATTAAAATATTCGTTAATGAAAATATTAATATTCTGAAATCGGACCTTGTTCTTGTTGAGAGAATTTACCTGTTTATGATTCTACATCTTGTACTATATGTACGATAATGAATTTAATACACTTTTCACAGGAAGAAATTATGGTAAATTTTTCTCTTTTTTTTCAGTTTTATAGTTATATTTTCCTAATTTGTTGTTGCACGTTCCGATATTATTTACATTGTACAGCTGATTTAAGTACATTTTATTTACTGTCTGTATTGTTTGCCATGGAGATTTTTTTATATATTATTATTAACTTATTAAAAAAGAGGACATAACTCACATAAAAATTATGTTCATATATATTTGACGTCAGAAAATTGAAACACCTTACCTTTGAAAACCTGCCAATAACTTGTTACATACATAAGATCTAATAGCTTTAATATATTTCTTAATTGGCTGGCCACTTGTAGAAGAAGTATGTATTATCAACAATATCAGCAATATGAATAAGAACAACTTTCTTAAGTCAACCCGGTTTTAAAAATTAAGCAAAAAATGGTAAAAAACGCAAAGAGAAGTCTTAACAACTTCACAAAATTTTGAAAACTGACACAACTTTAAAAACTATATGAAAAAGATATATATATCTATTCTGTGTTTTAAATAATATACGTATTTAACATGTGTTTCCAGCGTCGATGATAACAGATTATTTGTTTGGTAAATGAAATATTAGTACTTTTATCTTTGAAAATGTTTCCCATCCTTACCCTAGATTGCTGTGTCCATCTTTCATTTGACAAACCCATTCATCTTTTTAAGGGAAATTTTTAAAGTATGTACCGACTGAATAGCCAGAACGTGATCAAACAGTACAGGTGTGCCTTACTTTGCCGATTGTTGACATTCATCCCGGGAAATTATAAAATATGTGATTTTAAAGTAGAAAATATTATCACTTCCTACCCATACTAACCTGTTTACGAGCATGTTTTCATGCAGTTTTACATGTTTTGTTAACCATTTAAGTCACACCAATTATAACATGTCATTTGTTTGAAACACCCTAACGAGAAAGTCAAGACCATTGGGAGGTTTGAATATTATACATATTAATGTCGAGGTTGAGTGAAGTTTTTCCAAGTACACAGATCTGTAAATCTGTTAAACATTTACTGGTATTGTATTTCTGTGGTTTAGTTGTTTTATTTGCTGACTAAACTTCACTTACGTATTCGAATCTTACCACAGACTTCGATTCACCCCCTCTTAGGATGCTAGGCGCAACTCAGATGACAGTATTTTGTCTCAATAGTGCAATGCATAGGAGGTTTTAGGTCTTCTTCAACTGCTGGACACTTGGAAGTCGCCGTATAGATTTCACAGTGCCAAGTTTGTCACTTTTCAGAAATTCGAATTCGTTCACAAGATCTATATGTAATGACATGTATTGACTTTGTAATAAAACAATAAATCTCCATGTTTATGTTCTATTGATGCTTTTGTTGTACTTTTGTTTTTTATTAGAACAAATATTTTTGCTTACTTTTTTTGAAAATGTTGACTTCACCTTTTCTTTGTCAAATACAATTAGTTTAGTTATGTTGTGTTTGTATCTTTCATCGTTTTTCAGCATGTAAATAAAAATGTCGTGTTAAACTTTTTTTTTGTTTCCCATTTCATTACCTCATAAACATGTCATAGTTCAATATTTTTATCGTTTTATAAAATTGTATTATATCATCGAATTTTGGCAATGATTTCATCTTTGTCTTGTTTCTTGTTTTGTTTAAAAAAAGTACACAAACATTGTTCTGTTAATTTCCATTTCACACCACATTTAGCTGTTTTGAATGTATGAATATATGAACGAAATGTGACATTTTATTTCCAGATAAAGAGTTAGTTCCGTACACGACAGAATCAAATATATTTCTAAGAAATCATCCAATGAACATCATGGTAGGTATTTACGATATTGTTGTGTTTTCATATCATTATCCTCGGTAGCCCATGCTATTTACCGTATACCAGCTATACAGTATATACATGTACGGAATGTGTACCGTGAGTTCCGACGATACTATATTTTACTTAACTTATTAAATATGGTATCAAAAAGGCCTTCAATGTTAAAACTTGTATGCATGACTTGCCTCGAGATTTCTCTGTGATCTTTAGGATTTTCCTCGGTCAGTGCACATTTTGTGCTGGATTCTGACCAATGAAATGCCTTAGATCAGAGTTAGAGTTTAGAAATCGTCTTCATTGCCTCGGTGCTATATTTTGACTGACTTAAAAATCAAGACATAAATATAAAAGTTTAATATAGTTATTTTAATCACTGAATATTTGTTAAATATGATATGACTTATATTGCAGTATATTGTAGCATATTTATTGTTTGAATAACATTGGTTTCAGCTATACGTGTGATGGATCACTGTATATTTCACAAACGTGTACACTTAGTACATTGTTATACAGTGAATAGAAAACAAACATATATATAAATATACAGATACCAGTATTGTGTTTACCACATTTAGAGGAGACCTCATGAAGCTATATTACGCAGATCAAATCTTGTCTGTAATTACTGACCGCTGTGGGTTCGAATCCCGACAGAAACTTTGGATTCTTTCATGTGAGGAAGCTATCCAGCTAGCTTACGAAACGTTGGTGGTTCTACTCAGGTGCCGATTTATGCCTGAAATAATGCACGGAAGGGCACCTGAAGTCTTCCTCCACCAGTAAAGCTGGAACGTCGCGATATGACCTATACTGTGTCGATGTGACGTAAAACCCAAAACAAACAAACAAAACAAACAACAATTACTGACCATTAAATCATGTGTTGCATTTTGTTTTACTCCAGGTTGCTTCCTCCAGTGAAGAACTTTTAGATCACCCATTGGTAACTGCTTTACGACGTCATAAGTGGGTCAGCTTTGGTCGTCTGTTTTATTACGTCAGCTTCGTATCTTACCTCATTTTCCTTTCGTTCCTGACAGGATATATCTTAGTCACATTACCTCCCTTTGCTATGTAAGTAATTTTCTGACATTACATACCTTTGCCATGCAAGTTTTCGTTTTACGCTTTAGTATTCCTCTTTTTAAATGCTGAATTATTGCGATAACAGATTGCATTGATTAATGATATAGCCCAATGTAGGTTAATCTTTTTAAATAATTGCTTTCGTAGCAATTGCAGTTAATTGTCTTTAAATATTTTTTTCAAGAGCCGTAACTTAGACTAAGGCTTTGTCTTAATATGAAACTTTAAGTTTAAACATGCTGGTACAAATTGATTGATGTCAAGTAAGTGCAGGTCTTGCATGAACCTTATATTGTGATTTTATAGCAAATTAGTTAATAAGCATACTTTTATAAGCGACAGTATGACACGTGACTTAATGGGTGTTAAGGCAGTAAGATATCATAGTTTATACACCGGGTATACTGTACTACATGTTTTAACAAAATCACCATCTTTAACTAGTTGTTTTTCTTTTTTGCCATACCTAAGCCTACAATCACAGGAAACTGTACTATTTTAATGTATTTTCATTCACAGTGACAAGAGTAATTTTGACAGTGTTGATGGTGATAATGATTGTGAGAAGTATGAGAACACGGGGCATAAAGAACACACGTTTGCAAAGATAGCAAAATATGTGATCCTTGTGATGGATATTATCTACATTATCAAGGAGGTATATAATATTAATTAACATTGTCTTTTTATGTTAACCTTCACTCTACAGGAACAGAAAGTTATCAGCCATTAGCCAGACCAGCCTGCATGTCCATGAAATCTGGCATGTCTTTAAATTGTTGGTAGCTCAATATTTTATAAATTTTGATACTGAAATCCCAAAGACTTGGAATTCACTGTTACAAATTTTAAGGCTTACTTATTACCCAAATTCAGCAGGGAAAGAGTTTATGTCAGTTTGATACTTTTACAACCATTACACTCATAGGTCATTGTTCTCTTTTGAAAGTTCGTAATACTGAGCAGGTCTGAATGTATTGAAACAAAGTCAGCTTCTTAAAAATACAATATCAGGGCCCTAGACAATGTTGGGAGGAAGAACTTTTGTATGAACATTATAATACTTTCGATATAAATATGTTAATTCATGTTTATCATGCATAGTAATAATCTTATTAAATAGTACTAAACGTATCAAATGTTTTCTTTTTCAGTGTGTTCAAGCATTTCACGGAAGATTGGGCTATATCAATATAGAAAACGCTTTAGAAGTGTCTGTATTTATATCAAGTTTTCTCCTTGTGCTTGATGTGAAAGCATGCCAGAGCCAGACAGGATACAGAATGGTTAGTGACATTTGTTGCCTTTTTTGCGTGATTTGATTTGGTCTAAATTCGGTTCATTACCAAATTTAATGTAAACATATAGTGACTTTTCGAAATAAAAATGCAATTGATGTAAAATAATATTTGGCAAAAGTGTTTGCTCACAACATTAGCAACTGATCTCGTCTTATTTATTTATTTGAAACTAATGCAATGTAAAGTTAGTTAAAATTGAGTTTGCCTTCTATGTATGGCTGTGAAAATTATGCTTAGGCTAAAGTAAAAGAAAAAACGCGACATTATAATAATTATACCTTATGAAAGATCTCTTAGGCAAATGGCTGCGCAAAGGGTTTCATATCTTTATGTCCTTACTAACTCTGTCATAGGCACATTTGAGATACTACTTGATAAAATGTAGGAGAGTAAAATATATCAATATATTATTGAAGAATCAAATACTTACTTCTACGTGAAAATGGAAAAAAAAAGTTGGGCAACATACACATTCATTATATGAACTGGACTTCTTCTTTGGAGTTGTCTTGCAAAATCAAATTAGATTAGCAAAAATATTGTATACACGACTTACCTGACTTGATTGCTGTTATTGTAAACCTAGTGTTTATGAAATTTATTTTCTTTTTTTCAGCCATGGCAGTGGAACTTCGGCAGCATATCTATTGTTTTAGCTTGGATAATGCTTGTGCTTTTTATTCAAAAGTTTCCTAAACTCGGAATTTATGTTGTTATGTTCAGATACATTCTCTATACTTTCTTCAAATTCTTCCTCGTGTTCGTCTTGTTTATCATTGCATTTGGTCTAGGATTCTTTTGTCTCTTACAGAACCAGGTAAGTCGGTGATTTTATATGTAGAAATAATATTGATTTGAAGGTTAATTAACTATCTAAAAAGGTTAATGTAAATTGATAATTCATTTCATTATATATGAATGAAAATCACATCATATTTCTTATTTTGATGATAAAAGACTGGTAGTAAACTGTTGGTTTTTGATGAACTATGTACTGTAAAACATGCATACTAAAATAGTTAAATTACAGTTTTATTTAGTGTTTGTAAACAGAGTCAAGATACAGTTTTACACATTATTTTAAAAATACGAACTCAAGAGAGATCTTATAAACTCAAATTACAAATCTCGTCATTTTAATTTATTGTGCCCTATTTATAGCATAAATGCTTTTATATAACCCTCTATATCTTTTGATTACGGTCTTTCTGAATCTGAGCATTTAATGTCAATATACGGCGTTATTTGCTTCTTTTAAATGATTGAATTCGATATATTCGTTACAGACTCCCTATTCTACGGCATGGAATGCTATTATACGGACCTCTGTCATGATGATAGGAGAGTTTGACTATAATGATATATTCCATGGCGAGGATGACATGCATTATTGGTTGACATACGTTTTGTTCTGTGCTTTTCTTATTGTCATGACCATCATCATCATGAACTTATTGGTATGTGTTCTTTTACTTATCATTACCTTAATAATAACGTAAACAAAGAAAGGTGGATGAAATTACTACGGCCATTCTGTGAATGATAGATAAATTCTACCCTTTGTTTGTTTATTGTAGCATTGTTGAATTAGTGTTATGCATTTAGGAAATGAATTTTCTTTTTTATCATCATCAACAACAATAATGATTTATAGTGTATCTATATATGTATTTATGTACCGAAATAAGGGACTATATTTCGTAACTTTGAGCTTTTGTACAGCTTTGTTCAACATATTTTGTCTCTTTAGGTTGGTTTGGCTGTAGATGACATCAAAGGTGTTCAGGATCAAGCAACATTGAAAAGAATTGCAATGAAGGTTAGACTGATTATTGTTTTGTAATGTAATTTCAGAAGAAACTTTAGAAGTTTTTGCAACTTTTTTACTTTTTTTGTTGGAATTTTCAGAAATTGGCATTTTTTCTCCTATTGCTTGCTTTAAATTAACAGAAACGTTATAACTGCCAGTAGTTTTGGAGTTTCGAGTTGCTTCAATGGTTCAGGAAGTTTCCTTGTTCTTCTTAGTTTCCAGAAATCATTTAATAATTACAGCTTTTAACTGGATACCCATTACTAGTACTAAATATCTGGTATTTAGCTAATATGTAGCATATATAATAGTAATGACATTTATTTTATTAGTGTACAATGTGATTTTTGCACAGTATGACTTATACTCGTATATATTTGTTATATATTTATATTTCAGGTACAACTTGTGTTAGACATAGAGAGGATAAATATTAAGTTTACAAGCCGCTATTATGAACGGTGTTTGGTGGAATACTACGATGATTATGAGGAAATGCAATTAGCCATACGACACTCAAAGGAGGTAATAAATATAACTAAAATTTTCTATAGGCTTGAAATTAGTTCTACTTTGTAAATGCTAGCACCTAAGTAACTTGCCTATTCTACCAGTATAGAGCCTTGTTTAGTCGGCATTGTTGAAGTCAAAATTTATTTCATTTATTTCCATAACTGAACCGGGTTAGTTTGCTTTCTATCGACAATAGAAACTTCACTAAGTTACAAGTGTAGGGTGAGACCATTGGCCGACTACCGGCTTAAACCATGTAAGGATTGTACTTCGGTCAATATTCTGACGTACCGCCTCCGTGGTCGAGAAGTTAGAGTCGATGACTTCTAAGTACAGTCAGATAGTCTAGTACAGGTGTAACTCTCCAGGAACGTTTGTTAGGAAACTACCCGACTATATGACTGAAATACTGTTGGGAAAAGGCGTAAAATGAAACAAACAAACAAACAAACAATATTCTGACGAGGTTCTGTACCGTTGACAGCTGATATTGCGAATTTTTAATAATGAAATGTTTCAAGTTCTCAATATGCATGTTATCATCCCTTTAAAAAGGGGGAGGCGTCCGTCATCTAGTGGTTTAGGTCGTTAACTTAAATCACTTGGCCCTCAACGCTGTGGGTTCGAATCCCGACAGGGACTTTGGATTCCTCCATGTGAGGAAGCTATCCAGCTAGCCTACGGAACGCCGGTGGTTCTTCTCAGGTGTCCGTTTGTGTCTTAAATAAAGCACGGTCTTCCTCCACCAGAAAAACTATGACCGATACTGAGTTGCTGCGACTCCCCCCCCCCCCCCCCCCCAATAAAAAAAAAGTAATCAGCACGATAATGATTTTTAAGATAAATACACCAGTCTGTGTATTGTGCATGAAACTTAAGACTATATATCAAAATGCACTTACAGTCACAACTTGTATGATTTGTTCCTCATCTTCATGGGTATAACCTTTCCCAACTAAGATACATTTTTTCATTGTAGTTTGAAGATCAGATGCACAAGAGCCAACAGAAAATGTTGAAGAAGGTGGACAAGGTGAAGAATACAGTTAAATCATTAAAGAATGATATCTCTAGACTTGAAGATATGTTAGGAACAATTATGAAAGCTCAAGATATCAGCATGAATACAGATGATATCTAGAGAATCGTGATGCTGACGAATGATATTTCGTGAATAACGATACACTCGGGTTATATTTAGCGAATCACGATACAAAAATGATAGTTATATTTAGCGAATCACGAGGCATACGAATGATATTTTGTGAATCACGATGCCGACGGATGATATGTACAGAATGAACATAATTCAAAGAATGCATGATGGCAAATTAACGAGAAAGTGATTGAAATGATATACATGTGTTAGGATAGTATAGGATATCTAGTAATTTCGATGACATTGGGGAGGTTTCAGTGTTGCTGCACGGATACCATTGGCATGTATCTGAAATTCTCGAGCTTTAGTGCATTTTTGTTATGAGAATCATGATTTTCGAACTGGCATTGGCATTCACTTTTAATAAGTTGTTTTCATTAAGTATGAGTTGTTAATTGAGATTATAATGTATATAATGCATTCATGAATATAAGCTCATATTAAGCTTGTCATACTCGGTTCTAAAATTAACCATGTCAAAGTTACCACACATTCCACGTTTTATTTAATTTCTGCATCCGCGGAAAAAACTTTGTATTTCATAAATAAATACATTTTCTAAAAAAGGTACAATCAATATGCACTGGTGTAGTTAGTTTTCGACCATGAAGCAGCATGCCTCAAGACTTAAGCTTATTTTTATGAAAATATTGAAAATGTATTTAAAAGTAAAATATTGTGCAGTGAACAATTATAGTAATTTACAATTACGGTCCTCGTAAATTACCAAACTGATCAAAATGTGTTGAATTAGCCCTTGCTGCGTTAGACACGCAGTTGAAATATAGTGATAAATACTGCAAAATAGAAATCACCAATGAGTCGTTAATCGAAAGTTAATACTTTAATCGTTTTTACTTTTCTTAAAATCTGCATCATACATCTTTTACGTTTGATTTCATGAAATATTTTGCCTCATATGAAGGCATGCAGCTTTAAGGAAAAATTGAATGTTACTTTTGATAGAGATAGTTGATTCGGAATGAATAAAATGTGTACCAGTGTTTGGTGGTCAGTATGATTTATTTTTATATGCTGAAACGGGTAATATTTATATTTAACGTAGTGAATCATTTTACATAACAGGACTTATATCTATTTAATTTAATATGTAGTTTCTAGTCTTGCTTGGGCGATATAAGTTTATAATGTAAAAAATGAAAAATATTAACTGGAGCTATACGTGTTCTTTTTATTACTGAAAAAGATTTCTGCATGCAGAAGACATAGTTTAGATATAACTTGTTTCAAGAATTTTTTTTTTGGTCCGTCAAGAAAACTGAATTAGAAAATTATGTTTCAAAACTTTATATCACTTCTTGCGTTCACGCATTTATTTAGTAAAGCATATAGTTGTTACTGGCATGGAGAGAGATCACTTACAAACTGATGCTCTTACTGTAAATATTTAAAGGTATATTTTTCTAACTTTGTTCTTCATGTACAAATTTTCAACCACATGTTTAAAGCTTTTTTTTGCAAGGCGTGGTATTCTTAGTTTCTATTTTTATGCATACAATTTGTCGCGATGAAACAATGTATATTAATTGTGCGAAAATCATTAAAAACAATGAAAATCACTATATTACTTACATTAAAAGGGCGTTAAACACTTTTATATATTACTATACATGTATACTACTATACTGCACTCTGTGATAAATTCATGATTTTATATTTATTGTTTTTAAATACTTTAGTATAATTGAAGCATTTTGATACTTCGTATGTCTTGAAATAAATATGTATCTGAACTAATCGTTTTCTGTTTTCTTTTGTTTCTTCATATGAGCCGCGTCACGACGAAACCAAAGTAATGCGTTTGCGACCAGCATGGATCCAGACCAGCCTGCGCATCCGTGCAGTGTGATCAGGATCCATGCTGTTCGCTTTCAGTTTCTCTACTTGTAATAGGGTTTGTAGCCGAACAACATGGATCCTGATCAGACTGCGCGGATGCGCAGGATGGTCTGGATCCATACTGGTCGCAAACGCACTATGTTGGTTTTGTCATGACGCGGCTCAAATGCTGTTTTAGGCCGGTGATATACTGAAGATGTGAGAAATGTTTCACGATGAAACAGTCTTTTTGTGATTCTTGTTGTTTCATTACTTCCGAATGATCCAGTACTTTGTTATGTTGCATACCCACAACGCTTATAGCATTGTATTTTATTGAAATATTAAATGCTTTAAATGACTGTCAAAATTTGTTACTTATTTCACAAATTTATTGATACTATCACCAAAGTGTGTATTTGTATATTTGCACATGTACTACAATCATTAAGTCTGTTTTTCTTATAGTCAAGAGATTCAGTTAGACCAAATGATCGGAAACCAGTCTTGGATTGTAATGGCTATCAAATGATATTAGTGTCAACCATACGAACGACCCGAATAATAATTAATCAAAATACATATCTAAAGCATACACTGGATGCAAGTAAAAATATCTATCTATCTTGCTTTTCTGTCAAATAACTCTCAATGACAAAGACAGTCGAACCACTGAGAAAAAAAAAAGTAAAAAAGACGTATTTAACATACTATACACATTTAGACTAGAGTGTGGGAAATTAATAGGGTTTGTTAAAAGTGTCTGACAATCAGTTATTGCGAGATATGCTCAAATTGCCAACATTCTTATAGACTGGTAAAATGTGGACAATTAAACAGTATTTGGCGGTAAGCTGTTCCAGTGGAAGTCTGTTCTAAAAAGAATGACAATTTGTAGTAGTCTGTTTGTTTGTTTGTTTGTTTGTTTGTTTGTCTTTGGCTGGGATTGCATATGGACATGTTAGAGGGAAAGATAAAATTCAATCGGAATGGCAAATATATCATAAGGTATTTTAAACATTATGGAGACCATACAGTCAATACGACGAAGATTCAGTCAGCATCATTTAAAAGACTCTGGCATCTGGTAAACACTGGATTAGATTGACCCAAAGCGCAGATCCTCTTTCGTCAGATTCTATCTAATCAATTGGGGTTTGCCTAATGGGGAACCAGACATTAGATGCATATTCTAGTTCTGGTCGAACAAGTGTCTTATAAACCATGGCCTTGAGGTGTTCTGAGTTTACTTTTATATAACGGCGTAAGATGCCAATGATTTGGTTTGCCTTTTTGAGTGACCTGTAAATGTTCTCGTAACAGGAGTGATCATTAAAAATTTTGATATTTTGCCTATGTTTCTGCCTAAGAGTAGTTTCATGAAAAATTTAATTAGTTGACATAGGATGTTTCCTCTTTGTGTCGTGGATTACTTCTTTTTTTAAGATTGTTGCCCTGATTTATAAGGGTTATGCATATAGCAGTATCACAGTCTCATCAGAAAATAGGCGAGCCTTTAGTCGGACCTCCTTTTGGGGATGATTTATGTACGCAAGAAAGAGAAGGGGTCTAAACACCGACATCTGGTAGACTCCAGAAGTAACCAGTATGACTTCAGAGGATCATTCGTCAAATACTACAAATTGGAGCCTAAGAATACTTGTTTCTTGTTGTAGACGTATGCAAGAATGTCATTTACTAGCATCTTGATTTTTTTTCACGAAAATCATGTTGGAGATGGTAAAGAATGCACATGTTAGTAAAATGTTTTGTGATTCAAGAGGCGACATTGTGTTCTAAAGTTTTACAAAGTACACATGACAGGGCAATTGACCTGCCATCTTTCTTATAGCATTGATGAGGCATGTTGCCGTCATCTATTGATGTCTGAAAAAGGTTCTAAAGGATGGCCGAGAATTCAGATGCCATTATTATAAGGACAATTGACTTTGTCTTATCAGGGTCACTCGCTATTGTGTTTTTAGGTTGACCAAAAGATTTTCTATCCCACTGAAAATAAGTCTTATTAAGATGTTGGGTATTCTTCGGCATTTCTTACTGTTGATTCCAAGTGGTTACACGTGATTTGCATCATACACGTCCGGGAGTTCCATTATGAAAGTATAAGGCAAGGTTAAAAGGTGGTGATTTACAACTTAACACAGATTACAATTGTTGATTTGGTACAATTTTTATACAAAATGAATATATCAATGTCTTTTGTAATATGAATTCAAGATATCCTCGTATCTCATATACATGTATGTTTATACAATAAACAAGCTGATGAAATATTTTGAATCCTAAATGTTATATTTCATACGAAGCAATCTGTTGATTCCAATCATGAATGGCAAACGTTGTCTATAGAAAGACGCAATCGTATATATATACAACGAGATATTTATATATGCAATATTTTCTCAAATAAAGTAAATGAAGAAAGTTGAATGTCGGGACATTGGTGAGAATTACTAAACAGAAATTGTGATACAAAGGTGGTGAAACATATTCTCTCGGCAAATACAGCTTTGTTCCGCACTGACACTATTCAGGTGATATTGTGACTTCTCAGATTTCCTGGTGGATGTAGATCTCAGGTGCTCCTTCGTGTATTATTGCATAATATTAGCAACATTGGACACCTAAATAGAACCATCGACCTTCCGGAAGATTGATTTGATCTTTTAAAAAATGTCAATACGTCTTTCATATGATAAGAACAAATCATATGAATATTTTTCTGAGATTCATGATAAAAATATGTTTACTCTATTAATTTGTTTATTATCTGCACAGAGCTATATCTAAATATATTATCTGTAATATAAGTCTCTGTTATCTACGATACAAGATCGTTATCCAGATCTTCTACACATTCAGAGAATAGGATATAATTTTACCTTACATAGCGTATGTAAACATAAGATGACATTATCATTAACCTCTTTTGAATTTCAGCAATGCTATTTAAGGACGAGCTAAGGTGCGGCTCGGAGTTGTTTCCCAGAAGAGATCGCAGAAGTTCAACAATTTTAACTTTTTTTTCCAGAGGGGTCATACTTAAATATTTGCAATTTTCTTTTGCTAGTGTTTGACTGTTTTTGTAATTTTCACATAAAGAAAAAAAAACAACATGAATTTAACCAAATTTCAGAGGGATTTGACATAGTAGCAAAATCTGGTAGGTGGGGTCATGACCCCCTTACCACCATCTGGATCCGCGCGCATGTAGTTATTAAACGCGACTATTTTTCTTGATTTTTAAATGATATAGTATAATCGAATAAAGAGCTAGGCTACTGGATGTACATTTATACTACCCGTAATCAATATATTGATCACAAAACTTCACCGGGATCTATTTATATAAATACGAGTATGTAAACATACAATTGTATAGGCTAAATTTGGCGGAGTTGTTAACAAAGTTGAAAACGAATATGTCGAAAAGAAATTTTAACAAAATGGATGATGATCAGATACGGGGATCATCCAGGGTTTTACGAAGTAGTCTGGCAAAGAAAGGCGGACACTTGGGTAAGATTATACACAGATATTTTATTTTATTTGCATGCATTTATGTTAAGATATAATGTCACTAGGGTTTTCCTAAGGGTTAATATAGAAATACGTCATTTCTTGGTGACTTTATGACATGATCATGATACAAAACAGCTAGCAACAATACAGCTCTTTTTGTGGCTATATATAAATATTGAAAATGAATAATACTTATATCTTATTGAAACTTTAAAGTAATATGCATCCATTTCGTTGAATACGTTCATATTGAATGAATATAATTACAAATGTTGAACTGATCTATTTTCAGACGAAAAGTTTAAAAAACGGAAAATGACTGACTTGGATCCTAGATCTTCACAAGGTAGTTTAGTTATCCATTATATAATTAGGGTTGATGAAAGTCAATATTGCTGAGGTAACAGCACGAAAAAGTTCACAGTTTAAAAAAATAAAGTTATTTTTTCCTATAGAATAAGTACAAGAGAGGAGTTATTTCAAAGCCTAATCTTTATAAATGTTAACTTTTGATTTCATTAAGAGAAACAGATATGCATGTTGAGATTCGGCTTTGTTCAACATTTCAACTCTTGAATTTATTTCAGATGAAACTCATGTTTACAGCGATATTTACTTGTAAGACTATTGTAAGCGAATTTGATCAAAAATTTGTTTTCTCTTTCATTTAAAATATATACGGTATTTACATCAATATTAACATACATTTTTATGTATTGTTTGTGAATTTTAGTAAGAAATCAAAGAGGGAGACTCAATCAAACAAAAGTGAAGGGCACCAAAAGGTATGCAAACTTTCAATTTTCATTTTATATGAGGTCAATATGGCAGGTCCTCTGATTTCTGGATTCATTAAGACAACTGGATTGATAAGTCTATTTTTCATCAGAACTCATATATAGAAGTTGGTTATTTGAAATAATTTTCGTTTAATTTGTTCCTCTTCTTAGTAACCTGAACAAGATTTTTCATCATACTTCCTTTATTTTAATTAAACAACGTACTATATAATAGTAAAGTATTTTCCTTTCATTTATACGAGTATATATATAATATATTATACATGTTTTGCATACTTTTTACAGCAATCAGAGACGTCTTTTCATTTTAAATGATGACACAATCATATTTAGTTTCAATCTCAAAAAGCTGTTACTAATTGGTGTAGAGTTACATTTAATCATTTAGTACATATCGAATTATTTCTGTGAAGACAGCAATGCTTCTTTTATAATGATTGTTTAATTGTTGCTCTTCAGTCTCGCAGAGAAACACGTAAGTACCGATGCTAAGAAAGGGAAACAAGGCACAAAGACTACAGTTTGGTCAATAAAGGACAAACATGAATACAAAATACAGTTACCTCTATCTGTTGACACAAGTATTAGCTGGATCACCGGTTGTCATTTAATGGATTCAGGGGAGATAATTATGACCGATTTTTACAACAAAAGTCTGAAGAAGTTGGATAGAACGAGCGCAACAGTCACTGTGTGTGATCTCCCCTCGATACCTTTCGGAATGTGCTATATTGGTAACAACACGGTTGCTGTTTCACTTGGACAAAAGCTCCAGTTTGCCAATATCAGTGGTGATATGAATTTAATGCAATCAGTAGATACCGATCATTACTGTAAAGGTTTAACGTACCACGACTCTAAAATACTTACTGTAAATGATAACTCCGTTTTTATACACAACTATAATGGAAAACAGGAACGCTGTTTGTTTACATATGACTCAAATGCATATTTTCAAGGCATTGCAGTGAGCGATGATGGGCAAAGAATTTACATCGCATCTTGGAACATTGGACTTGTTACCATTGACAACAAAGGAAATCATCTATTTACGTTGTCTGATCCGGAGTTGAACGACCCTTTTCGCTTGTCTTTAGATAACCATGGAAATGTCTTGATTTGTTATCCGCATTCAAACATTGTGATGCAAGTAAGTCCTGATGGAAAGAATGAGATGGGAAGAATTATTAAAGCCACTGATTCTATTGAATGGCCGAATTCACTTTACTTTGACAGAAATACAAGCTCGATTATCGTAGGCTGTGGCGGTTCTGCATATTTATATGTTTTTGATCTGAAATGATACCAGAACATTGAAGATATTCCAGTTTCACTTGATTCTGGCATTTAACTGTAAAATATTGTAAATTTGTTTTGGAAATTTGCCTTAGGTAAATAGATATTACTTATTTCCGACCCAGGTTTGTTTTGTTGTAAAATGTAAATATTTATTTGTAGTAGATCTATATATGTACCATTTATTGAAATAAAAGATTTTTTTAACTAATTAATTCCGATGTCCTCAAAAGATAATGACCAATAAGGTATTTGTTGACTCCATTGTCACTTTTACGCCGGCTACGGTATTCATTTCTAGTAGATTTCCTTTTCTCGAGATAAAATACATTGCAGTTTTTCTACAATTTTATTATAAATCTATTATAAAATAAAAAAAAGATATGTGGAAAAGAACTATATATTGTGTACATTATAAAAATACATTTGTATAGGGATATACCTCTATAATGATCTTAGATCCTCTGGATCTACCATTTTATTTAGAAATTTAAATTTGAACATCACGAATATGAATTGTGCGGGTATTGTTCTTTCTATCAGTAACATTTTCCAGCATATGAGATAGGATTATCAACCTGCTTACTATGGTGGCTTATTTGTGCCATTCGTGTTTTTGCCCCGCGACCCCGCCAAACGAAAAGTCGAGAATAAAGTTAAAATGGCAAGGGCGCGGAGCTAAAACACGTTAATAAGCTCCCCTGCTTATTAGCACATTTTTGCTCCGATCGCCCGCCGTTTTATTTCTTAAATCTGGCCCGCTAATTTGAATGTATTAGGACAAATCAGCCACCATAGCTTACACCCGGTGCTGGAAAAATATAAATTTGCCTTTCAGACTGGTGTTTCCGTTAGTTTTACACATGCTTAAGATGACGTAATTTTTCGCCGTTATAAATGAAGTTGTAATTTCATACATTCTTGTAATAAAATAGTAGCGGGTGTAATACCAGGAAATTTCAATGGAAAAGAATATAAAACATATTCTACTATATTCCAATTATGATGGAAATATAATAGAATATACAAGAAAAAAATATCTGACACATGTTTGGTTTAAAACCATATTTATTGTGCATATATTTGTAAATCATAGATTATAACATACATTTTCAATAACCATGGCTGGACGCGGAGCGAAAACACGCTAATAAGCACCCCCGCTTTGCTTTTTAGATAAATTACAATAAAACTAATACATGGCTGGTAGATGAGCAATTTAGGAGCATATAACAAATGTGTACCACAACCGCTTCTATTGATTGTATACAAAATATTTTTGAAAAAAAAATCACAAAACTAGGTTATGTGGTAAGGCACTTGCATTATTTGTAATTGATAGATATTTTAATATAATATATTAATAGAAAAAAAAAAGAGAAAAAGAAGAAGGAAGATTAAGATGAAAACCAACGTTTAGAGATGAAGAGACAAATGATTTTTTTAGCACATAGACAGTATAAAAACTATTATTATTTTTTAAGTGTTTACCAGTGTAATTGTTAAGTCGTAGACAGTACTTTGCAACATTTACTCGTCATGCAAACCTCCCACTATCCATTATGTATTTTTGGACGGCCAGAAATAACTCCGTATTGTCTGATTGAGAAAGAGAAACATCCCCAAACAGAAGAGTATGAAGAGAAACATTTTGAGTGATTTGACGCACTTTTGTAAGAAAGCATGTACGGTGGCAACTATAAAAGTGACATTCGAGAAGATAGTGATAGTTGTTTTCAGGTTTTCCACAATGGCAAAGGGGAGATTGGACTATATTACGAGTGAAAATGTGATGATTTAGTTTGCTACAATTCATGCGAAGCCTAGCATGTAAGACCTGTGACATTCGTGATCCGCTGTAAAATTAAGCGGGAGTACTATCACGGACTGGCATAACTTTACTTTTAAAAACTTTTAACATGTTTAAAGTGGATGAATTTCTTACATCTGTTGATAGGTTATTCCAATCGCGAACTGTCACGGGTAAGAAAGAATTGTCATATTGGTTAGTTCGGGAATGTACAGGTCTCAACTGGTCTAGGTTTCGAAGGTTGTACGAAGACGTTGATCCAATATTTGGGGGAACGAGATTTGTTAGATATTCTAGTGCAAGACCATTTATCATCTTATAGAACATTATAAGTCTGTGAACGCGTCGTCTCTCTTCTAGGGATGACCAATTCACTTCCTGTTGAAGTTTATCGAGAGAGACCAGTTTGGTTGCTCCCGATACAATACGAGCACATTCGTTTTGGATCTTGTCAAGCATATCCTTTTCAGCCATAGAGCAATTATACCATATAACATCAGCATATTCTAGAATTGGTCGGATGAAAGAGGTGTTTATTACTTCAAGAGATTTCCTATCAAGAGTAACTTTCAGTCTACGCATGATGTGAACCCGTTTCCATGCTTTATTTACTATGTAGTTAATATGTTCATGCAAAGAGCAGTCATTTGAAAGAATGATACCCAGATGTTTGTGGTGTTCTACTTCCGGTATAATTTGGCCATGCATGTTTAGAGATTGGTGGTTTTGCTGATGCATTTTTCTACTTAGCAATAGGCATTCGGACTTTACAGGATTAAAGTTAACTAACCACGTATCGGCCCATTCTGTTATTTTTAGGATATCAGATTGGAGGAGTTCTGCAGCAGCAATTTGGTTTTCAACAACAATATATAAACTGGTATCGTCAGCAAAAATACGGATATGACTTTATTATCATTTATAAAAATAAGAAACAATAGGGGTCCTAAAATTGAGCCCTGGGGAACTCCAGCATTTACTGCATCCCCTGTAGATTGAGTACCAGGTAGCACAATGCGTTGCCGTTTTCCGGAGAGATAATTAGAAAACCAGTCTAATAATTTACCCGAAATACAAGCATTTTCTAGTTTGACCAACAGGCCTTTGTGCCACACCTTATCGATTGCCTTACTTATGTCAAAGAAAACCGTTTTTACTCGAGCGCTTTACAAAATGTATCGTATAAAAGTGTTAACTGATTAACTGTGGAGTCACCTGGTCTAAATCCAGACTGAAAAAGGGGACAAAAAGCGGATAGTGTTTAAATGATTATAGATGTGTTTGAAGACAACTCTTTCGAAAACCTTTTCGATGCAACTGAGTAATGAAATAGGTCTATGGTTGACAGGGAGACAAGTGTCACCTTTTTTGTAAATAGCACATACATTTGCGTCTTTCCAAGTTTCAGGGACTATACACGAAGGAAGAGAGAAATTAAAGAGAGAACATAGAGGGATTGATAATTCAGCTGATGATTCTTTGAGAATATGGTTGTTTATTCCATCTGGGCCTGATGCTTTTCCTGTAGAAAGATTATTTAATGCGTCTTCTATTTCTTGTGGACTAAGAACCAGAGATGTTAGGAGATTTGTGTCAGTTGGAGGAGTTGCTTGTGGGACTTGCTTACCACTACCATTCAGTAAAGTTTGGCTACAAAAATAGTTATTCAGCAGTTCAGCATGTTCGAAGGAATCGTGTATAAGATTGTCAGTATATGGGTTTTTTAAAGGATGTATAGTTTTGTCCGTATTTGGTGAAATAAAATACTTAAGGGTAGACCACCAAGACGAGAGAGGTTCGGATTTAAGTTTATTTGCCATTTGTTCATAGTAATCAAGTTAAGAGCGTCGTATTAATGTGACGGTGTCATTACGAAGTTTCCTAAATTTTTCCCAAGAGGACTCGCTGTTAGTTCGTTTGGCCTTCCTGTATGCACATTTACGTTTTCTAATAGCTTTACGGACAGATGTATTCATCCATGGTACATCGTTAGGGCGTATTCTGACAATTTTATTAGGGATACATTTGCTGTTGATTTCTAAAATATTTTCTGTTACATTGGTTGTATGAATATTGATGTTCAACAAGAGTGCCAGTCGAACTCACCTAGTGCTTGTTTCAGAGTGTTAAAGTCACAACGGTCATACATCCATATGTGTCTTGAATAGTAAAGCAATTTTGGCTTATGAAATTTCAACAGAGCAAATACTGGACAGTGCAACCGAACAGTTTGGTCAAGAAAATGGTCACCGACACCAGAAAATAAAACATTTTTAGCTTTGTCTTTCATGGAGGTGTAAGACTGATGATATCTGTCATATGTTTGCGAATCCGATCGGAATATCCGTCTCTCGGGAACCCACCAATGGGTGATGAACTAGTTCTCGACGGACAAATATTCCGATCTGAACCGCAACATATGACAGATATCATCAGTCTTACACCTCCATGAAAGACAAATCGCGTGTTTTAAATGACGTCAATCCTACGCGCTTTTAATGAAATGCGTCCTTAGAATGATGCCATTATGAATTATGAATGAAATTTATTTATAAATACACTACTGTCGTCACAGACAGGAATATCTAGCTCTCGACAGAGCCTCGTTACCGCCGTAAACAGTTTCCCTCGAGCTAGATATTCCAGTCTGTACCGGCAGCCAGTGTAAGATTCTTATAATTGTTAATTTCAGGTACGTAGAATAATAATATCTGTCTGTTTTGCGGTTCAGATCGGAATATCCGTCCCGAGGGAACCCGGCCTTGGGCGGTAACGAGGCATCCTATCAGTTTTTCCCGATTTCTGTTTTAGAACTATGTCTGAGAAATAAATACCCTCGAAGGGTAGTTTGTTACCTAAACCCTTATAAATGATGTGACAGTGCTTGATTTTTCTTACATAAGGAACTGCCACCCTCGCCACAAATCGTTTGTTTTAAATTTATCAGTGGCAACAAACAATGCGATTAAAAATAAAATAGTGTTGTCAAATCTGATTGATGCACTCAGATCAAACTTTCAATTTAATAATATTAATAAAAATACAATAAATGTACACTACATAACGCCAACAGCAACATTTTATAACAATTTTTAAATTAGAAGTCAAGTGTACATGTTTAGTATGGTGGCTGATTCTGCCATTTCGTTTCACGAAAATAATAAGGCGTTGATACGAAGATTTCTACTCATCGACATGATAATTTTACAGAAAAGATCTCGTGTCTTCGCCTATTAAAATATCGTTCGTTCGTCTATAATATGTCGTGCCCTCGTGTCGACGCCCTCAAAAGTCGAAGGCGAAGACACGATAAGTGATATAAGCGTGTCTTCGCCTTAGTTTTTTTTTTAGGTACGAAGACACGAAATGGCAGAAATCAGCCACCATATTTAAGTGATACTATTTTGAGAATTTGCTAGACTGTGAAAAATTTTAATGCATTAAAAATATTACTTTTCAATTCTACTTGTATAAAATTGTGCTTATAGTATGACTTTGATATATGCAACAGTATGCATTTACATTTGTCGGATCCATCAGAGCGGGAAATACTCTGATCTGTTCTGATAATGTAGTAATGTAATAAAATGATTAAAGCGTCTACTTACCTGTATGAGTCTGATCAAAGTTCAATAAATAGAAACAGTAATCGGGACAAATTAGGTGCATTATAGGATTATATATAGCGTTTTAGTATATACAGTATTGTTACTTATTGTTCCAATTTTTTCCCAACAAACTTAAAAGCGTTCCAGATATTAATGTATAAATATATTGAAAAGTTTTATCCAAGAATTTATTACCACAAGAAATATCATATATTTTTGAGTTATACAGCCATGTCAACTGTCGCAAAGTTGATCAGTAAACCAGGCGAATTTATTCGCAGAGACTCCCAGTTTAGGAAATGGATAACAGGTATGAATATATTTGATTAATTTAATAAATGTTGCTTTTTTCGTAAAAAAAAAATCTAAGTCTGTTTTTAGCTCAAATGATTTATATCTACATATAATGTATTTGTGAATTTTCTTTGTTTTTAGGATGGAGGGATATTTATGAATATGCCTGCGATAAGGGTGGTGATTTTTTTAAAGACTCATATGTTTAGTTGCAATATTAAGAAATGCATAAATTAAGATACATGGTTTAACTATCATGGTAATCGATTTCACAATTGCAAGGTTATATTTCAAAGTTTCATATGGATTTACTAGTAATAAAATCGGTTTTCAGAAGTACTGTTGATGTATAAAAATGTATAAATTGTAAATTTTCGATACATTTAATGATCATTCGTACAGAATTGTGATACAAAACACATTTTCAAAACGATTTGTAAGTGGATGTTTGGAGAGTTCAGATACATACAGAGAATTGTCTCTTCTGCTAGCTCTTTTTAATGCTCTATAAAACGCATTTTTTTTTCTCCAGTAAGGAACTCAGACCTTTTCTTTTCTTGTAGATTTGCTTATTTAAATGTTAGTCTTCATGCTCATCCGTCTATCAATGTAAAATATATATATACGGAATCCCTAAAGAATGCCCAAAGCGACAAAATTGAACATGTTGCAGGCTCGGTTTGATTGCAGTTTACCGTCCACGCCTTCTGGCACTGGTTTGAGCAGAATTCAACATTTAATCATGGTAATGGTGAAATTTTGAATTTAGAAACATCCGCAGATGTGTTCATACGGCGTATATCATGTTACCTTAAATGTGACACATTAGTGCCATTCCATGAAAAGCGGCTTATGATCCCCAATTAAAAGCAGGCAACATATCCTAAGGATGAATATACAATATTCAGGAACCACCCATGTTAAAAAAGGTCAAATAGAAGAAACTAAAAATTCCAAATGACATGTATATACACAACAATAATGCCGTGCTGAACTATCTTCAAAGATCGAAAATATGACATCTTTGATTATATGTACGGGGCGACTTTTTACGGCCTCCACACAGTATTCTGCATACTCATTCCTCTGTCAATTTCAGTTTGCATGCTCATTGTCAATTTGAGTCTGTATGTTTATTCTTCTGTCAACCTCAATATAGTTTTATTTGTAATAGTTATAGTATTTGTAATAGTTATTGTACATGAAACGAGTTAGTTACGAGGATATAGACAATGTTTTCTATATATAAAGATGGATTTTTTCGACCTTTTTGCTTTTGTTAATTTTTGTATTTTGTTTACCACTTTGTCTCCTGATTTACATGACACCTGTTATAACGATCAATGCAGGTATAAAATTCACTCGGCCCCTTTCATGAGGTTAACCCATGGTCATCTCCAGTATTTTACACTATCCGGATGACTGGCCATGCGCCATAAGAAGGTTTTATTTACAAAAATCACTGTGGTACATGTATAATGTTCTATTTTTTGCCAGAAGTCCCAGATATTTATACTCAGTTTATAACTTGAGTAAAATTAGCTATCTGCCACTTATAAAAATGTCGTCTGTTATAAAACATATCAGTAAATCTGGTGAATTTATTCGGAAGGATTCAATATTTAGGAATTGGATTACTTGTAAGAACATATTTATTTTAATTATTATTCATATCTGTATTTATTTTATTCTATTCTTTTCTTTACTATTCATTTTTTATTGTATATTTATTCATATTTTTGTTGTTGTTAGACTGAATGATATTTCATAATATTTGTTCGTTAATTTTCCTTCTTGTTTAAAGGTTAGAAAAATACTAATACTATTAGGAACGGTATGTAGTCTTAAAGTAATGGATAGAACTTAAACAGAAGGTTATGAGTAAATACGATGTTTTTTGTTTGTTTTGGGTTTTACGTCACATCGACACAGTATAGGTCATATCGCGACGTTCCAGCTTTACTGGTGGAGGAAGACCTCAGGTGCGCTTCCGTGCATTATTTCAGACACGAACGGGCACCTGAGTAGAACCACCGACGTTCCGTAAGCTAGCTGGATAGCTTCCTCACATGAAAGAATCCAAAGTCCCTGTCGGGATTCGAACCCACAGCGGTGAGGGGCAAGTGGTTTGAAGTCAACGACCTTAACCACTCGGCCACGGACGCCCCTAAATACGATGTAATACGATGGTTGCACTAACTGTCTATAATTAGTAACACATAATTAGTAACAAAGGAAATAAATATATAAGGATTTCGTATCATGGAAAACTCGATTGTTTAGCTTTATGATATTTAAAAATTGAAACCATTGGAGCATAAACACATATATATTTTGTTTATGAAGAAACCATCCGTACCTTATTATTACTGTTTATTAGTATTGTGAAAATCTTAAACGATGTATCCGAGTATATTACACTATAGAGTGATTTCACTTAGCTTAAAACAGTGTAAAAGTAGAGGTTATATTTATATAAGATATTTGAAGTATTTGAATTCAACATGATGTGATATAAATCATTATGTTTCAACTTTAATAAGGTTTAAAATATGCGTAAACTTAAAGGATAATGACAACAAATCCTAGATTTAGTCTGTTATTGATTCATTTATGTTATAACATTATAAGTAAAAAATCCTCGTGCTACAGATTATAAATGAAGTATAAATTTTCTAAAGAATTTTACTGATCATGTATTATTAAACATAACTGCGTAACCAAAATAACTATTGATAACATCTGTGTTTTAGTTTAGGTCGGATATACCATTTAAGCATGAAAAATATTAAATAACATTTGAGTCTTTACACTCGTTATTATTCAGTTTTTGTGTGTGAAGTACATACTTCTTTGAAAGAAGTTTTGGAGCAACTGTCAGGATTGTGTGAAATTTTACAAGGTTGCAACATTGCAATCATGTTTTACATTAGAACTTATAAAATATGCTGAAAACTATTAATTTACTAAATACCTATATTATATATCAAATGACATTAAAGATATTAACTGTACCTTCTTTCTTTTAAAGTATTCGAACATTATCTCCTGTCAATATCAAGCCTGCGTTAAATTATGGAGGAAGTTGTAATAGTTTGTTTGTTAGCCATTTACATATATTTGCATATACATATAAAAATAATTAATAATGGAAAGAGAAGGATTTTAACGTGAAAAATTAACTCTAATTCTGTATTATGATTCATTATGATGAAAATCTATATTTACAGATCCAATCTCAAGACGGAACATGCACATTACACACATTCAATAAAGTTAGGTCGACACTGTACTCGCGGCTGTCAACACATTATACATGTATAACTTAAAAATAATGGGGAGGGGGGATAAATACAAATATTTCATTATAGCCTACATAATATATGAGCCGCGTCACGACAAAACCAACATAGTGCGTTTGCGACCAGCATGGATCCAGACCAGCCTGCGCATCCGCGCAGTCTGATCAGGATCCATGCTGTTCGCTATCAGTATCTCTACTTGTAAAAGAGTTGGCAAGCGAACAGCATGGATCCTGATCAGACTGCGCGGATGCGCAGGCTGGTCTGGATCCATGCTGGTCGCAAACGCACTATGTTGGTTTTGTCGTGACGCGGCTCATATTATATATTTTCAGCTGACGGTTCCAGCGGATTTAAGGCCGAGGCAGGGCGGTACCATTTGTATGTTTCATTGGCATGCCCCTGGGCCCACAGAACGCTGATTGTCCGGCACTTGAAGGGCCTGGAGGATGTGATATCTGTAAATGTTGTAGATTTACTTCTTACAGAAAAGGGCTGGCATTTTAGTGATGAGGTACAGGCATTTGAAAGTTTTTAAACGATGTAAATCATTTTTCGAAACAAATCACATATACATGTATAAGAAATCTATAAAGCGTTTTTTATAAGTTATATAGGTTTTTTTTACAGGTTATATGACCCAATGTAAACAATTATTTACATATATAATCCGTGCAACTGAACTAGGGTTATATTACAAACAACCCTTTATATTTGACCATATAAATTGTCCAGAATCTTTATAAAGAATTTAAAATACACTAAACTTCCTTTATTAGTGAAAAAAACTAGTGTGGAAAACGTCACGATTGTCAAATTAAAAGCGACGTTACAAACGTGCAGTTTCATAAATTTCCAGTCAGATAATTTTAATGGTCAATTGTCATTACACATGGATTTTCTCTTACACCTACAGCACCCTAACAACACATTAGATACAGTTAACGGATGCAAGTATTTAAAAGATGTATATAGGAAGGCTAACCCAGGTAAATATCAATAATTTCTCAGAGTAAATGATGTTGCTGCGGAGATATAAAAGAGAACACTCGGATAAAAACATGGTTGCTTATTTTAGTGTAGCATTTCATTAAGAAATATATAACTTGTATGATATTTATCTAACATCAGTCATGACCAATTGCAAGGTTCAAACTTGTTACTAGCTTCACCATGATAGATTTAATCACTTCTACTTCACGATAACAAAAGAATATACGTGTGTTCAATTTTCCTGTTATTTCAAGTTATGTAAATGCTAAGTACGCATGCCAATTTGAAGTCCGCGGCTAACATTTAAATTTGTATAATATCGGAGAAAAGGGTGCTTATAATTGTGAAGTTTGAAATTTAGATTGAAAATGTACGAAAGACCGGTGGGGACATTTCAACTTCATGAATTCCCGATTTCAACTTCACGAATTTCCAGTTACTCCCGGAAAACAGGATATTGCATGTACTTGTCACGAGGCCAGAAAAGCTTGCTCATTGACTGGGGTTCGAACTCAAAGCCCTCAGAATATTGTTTCGTATAGTCCCACCAAATTGAACTACTCAGACGCTTATATATATTTTTCGTCCTACTAATGATACACAGAGACACTGGTCAGCTCACGAACTTGATCAAAATATATAGTGAAGTTAACGCAAAAACACGCACACAAACAACACACGATCAAAATGAAATACTCCGCAATGATTTTACACTCGTCGTTTCAGATTATGACGGAGCGATTACGGTACCTGTGCTTTGGGACAAACAGAAAAACACTCTTGTGAATAATGAATCCAGTGAAATAATCCGTATGCTGAACTCTGAATTTAACAGTTTCTGTCAGACGGACGAACAGAGAAAGCTAGATTTATACCCTGAAAATCTTCGAGATGAAATAAATGAACTTAATTCATGGATTTATCCGTAAGTATAAACATGTATCACGTCTTATGCACTTATTTTTAAATTTAAGGACAGTAAGACCTTTCGTTTAGCAAAATAAATGATGAAAGAAACAATCGAACACATTTAACACATGGAAAGTGAGAGCGGTCTCTTATGGAAATTTATCTAACCGCAACAGTTGTTCTAATATATTAAACTGATAACCATGCTTTAATTAATATAATGGAAATGGGTACCACGGATTTATAAATCCGTGTGGGTACATACGACTCTTCCAGTCTACCTTTTTGATTATTTTGATCAAAATTATACAAAACCTTTTTTCTGACATACGACAAAATTTTATATCATCTAATATAAATCATATCATTTTTGTATCACTTAAGTTGTTGCAAGTCTTTTCTGCAATCCATTTTTATTTATCAGAAACAGATGGTGTTTATCGTGATGGGTTTTTATTTTTCAGAAACATTAACAATGGTGTGTAACGTTGTGGGTTTCTTTTTTTCAGAAACATTAACAATGGTGTTAACCGTTATGGGTTATTATTTTTCAGAAACATATGGTGTTTACCAGTGTGGGTTTTTATTTTTCAGAAACATTAACAATGGTGTTTACCGTTGTGGGTTTGCAAGAAGTCAACAAGCTTATGATGATGCTGTTATAAAACTGTTTGACCATCTAGACAAGGTAATTAATTATCTTTAAAGGTTCTCCTCTCTGTGTTTTAAGCAGGGTATTTTCAGGTTTACAAGTTTCACCATTTTTGTTTTCGAGTGCACATATACATTTGATATTGAAATAAGATAAATTTAAGCGTAAAGATTTCTGAACTTCTGATTAGAAGATATATAATTATAGTTTTAAATCTGCTTTTAAGAGTAACAAATCTAGGCTGTTTACTTTCTAATATTTAATTTTATATGAAGTTTCGAAGAAATCAGACAATAATTGTTTGTCATATTTTTGATGTTACGTTAGACTAATAATGTATCATACTAATACATAAAATTGTTGCCTCGGTCAATATGACATTAACCGGTGAATATCACAACATATTCGATGGCTCACTAGTCAAAAATTGTATAATAACAGAAGCACTTTAGGAAAAACAATTGATATATACATTGTATAAATTAAGATGTTCTTTGTCTTGTGACCAGGTTGAGATTATTTTATCTAAACAACGCTATCTAACTGGTAACCAGTTCACGGAGGCAGATGTTAGGTTGTTTACAACACTGGTTAGATTCGACTGGGTTTACCATGGTCATTTTAAAGTAAGTATGTCTTTGTATTTATTTATTTATGGGCGATTCCCACGAGATCCACCCATCAACCCACAAAGAGACGTGGTTACCGGTTCAAGCTGTAGGAACATTGTTGAGTTTACGGATCACACCTGTGATCCTCTGAAGTTTCAGTCATTCTATGATATAATTTGAGTACATTCCAGTTTTTAATATGGCACATTATTATGACCATGTAGATATATATTTGGCTGTTATCTGCGGGCACGAGTTTAGAAAATATTCACTGGCTTAACATACGAACATGTACTTAATGATAGTATACTAGTACTGGGATGGTGCAAACATTATAAATTTCAATTAGAGATATCGAAATAGATACTTTTTATCATTTCAATATGACAAACCACTTTTTGAATTGATAGATTGGTTTTCAATTTGTTAACATCTATATATGTCATCTTTTAATTTAAAACACATGTATAGTATATATTTTTAGTGCAACAAGAAGATGTTGAAAGAGTACCCAAACATTTGGGCTTATGCCCGAGAAATTTACCAGATGAAAGATATCGCAGGGACAGTTGACAAGGATCATATCCGCAAACACTATCATGTGAGTGATTTAAGTTTTTCTCTCTATATTATTCACTTCGTGATATCGGATAAGCAACTAATGCCTACGTCACATTACAAGCGGGGACCGGCCGATATAGAGGGATCGAAGGGACACCGTTGATAATTTGAGATCGGAGAGAAACATTTCAATCATGTCCGGGAAGCAGTAGGCGGTCATTCTCCCTCTGTGGTCAGTTAGGTATACGGACGGTTTCCGAAGGGTACTCGCCCGGCCAACCGGTGAAAACCCTTGGCGTCTTCTTTCTGGACACCGGTCGATACTCGTTTGGTACCCGGCAGACTACCGTACGATAAGTGTCCAATTGCCTTCCGTTATCTGGAATGATCTTCCATTAAATATCAGACAATGCTCATCAGTTGATAGTTTCAAGAAACACTTGAAGACTCATTTCTTCAGAGACTATTATAATAATCTTTTTTAGTCAAATTCAGTAAAGTGTAGAAACTAAGAGACAATGTTTTTCTGCGCATTAACTCTGTGATGAATATCTGATTTTACAATGTATTTATTATCCAAGTAACATTTGCATGTCTTTTACCATGTCCTTTAATAATATAGCCATATTTTTTATTATTTTAAATAACATTACTTTCTTTTATTTGTGATACCATGTTTTAGATTTAGAATTAATTGTTTTATTATTCTTAAACTACATTTATTTATTACTTTTAATGTTCTGATGTGATATTGTACAACGCCATTGAATATGTATTATATGTAGAAATAGGCGTTTAAGCAAATAAAACAGTTTGGAGGACAGCGCAAGATACAGATAGCAAGATGCCCCAATTTCAGAAAAATATGAAAAGGAAGGCGGCGTTCAATGAACGCAACCCCGACATTATCTAGCAAAACAGGATGACCAACGTCAAAGAGCCAAGCAGTACACCAAACAATCTTCTCCTTCTTCTTCACCTATCCAAGTGTTTAATCACTCATACACGGGGCCTCGCTTTAAAGTCTCGTCCGAAAGATTCCTAGTAATTTCAGTTGGTCATCCCGGGAATCGAACCCACAATGTCCAGATAACAAGTCTAGCGATTTAACCGATTCAGCTCTGCACACTGGCCAATGAAAGAATGATGGTGTTATTTGTTATTTATGATTTACCCTGAGGACTTTGGCAGTAAGCCAACAGGAATATACATGCCAGAGTACAGTTCAGCAACCGCATCGTTCGTGGACAGTCTGTCAAACAGTAATAATCTCTTCCTCACTTTCCCAAGGTACTGATAACTTCTGTACAACGGAAGTGACCTTCACCGTCGTCCGGGAATTGAACACGGGTCAAAGGCTTTACCTGCCGTAAGGTCTGTTTAATAACCCCAACGCTATCCTTACGGACATTTTAGGACCATACGTGCGACGTACTGCGTCCATCCGGGTCAGTAACCTGCCGAGACGCGTTCGGTGACCGCTCAGATACCGTTCTGAAACTGGAGGCATATTTGGCGTCCAGGAGGTACAAATTCTAACCGGTATGCAACTGATAACTAAAGGTGTCCGACCGGGTATCGGAGGGTATTTTACCGTGTCTGCATCGTTGCGCTGGCGATGTACCGGATGCCGGAAGAAAATAACTCTGCACTAAAATTTTCCGATTACCCGGACGGTGCCCCACCGGTCACTTGACACCGCAGGGTCACCGGCCGGAGACCTTTAAAAAAATTAGCAATTTCAGCCCGTTCAGGCATCGGTACTCAATCGTAAACCTAATCGGAGTGTAATGTGACGCAGGCTTAAGCAACTAATGCCTAAGTCACAGATGACAAACTACCGCCGAGCGGCGTCTATTTTTCCAAAAAATCATAATATCGACCGATGTCCGGCCGGCCACCGTGATAATCGGACGGCAGCAGTTGAAAACTTTGATTACTTAAAAGCTAACGGCGGCTGGACGATAATTTTTGGGGTCAGTGAGTTGAATAAAAGTCTTATTAGTTGGTGTAAAATTACTAACTAAAAAAAACTAGAAGTATGCTAGAAGTAAAAAACTTAAGATGGCAAAACAGGTAGTAAGTTCGATGCAGGTACTATTTGGATTTGATGTCATGTAAAATGTGTCAACGGCGTGATATTTCCTTGAAGTTGGCCGTTCTTTTCTCACTACAAGTAGACATTATGAATATTGCCTTTAGATACAACACTCAAAACTATTATTAAAATGCAAATCAAAATAAGATTTTTAATTTTGATTATTATTTTTTTTCCTTTTCAGGAGTCTCATACAAGTATAAATCCATTTAGAATTTTGCCAGTTGGTGCAGATCTTGATTTTCTCCAGCCACACAGAAGAGAAAATATTGGAAAGTAGCACCTTAATGACACGTGTACCTGGTATGAAAACACGCGTCTAAAATTAACGAAAACCAATGACAATTTTGTGGACTATTGCCCTGCGTACTTCAATAAAGCGATAGGCGCCATATTGGGACAGGGAACCAGATTATCAATTTTGTGTCGTCACATTCTTTTCAATTAGATGAAAAACAAGGACGATTTTAAACAATTTTTTTTCTAGTTCAATTGTTTTTTGTTTGTTTTGTTTTTTGTTTTTGTTTTTGTTTTTGTTTTGTTGTTGCGCCTATTTGCAGATATTCATCCTGGCGGACGGACAGGCAGACATACACACGTAGGGGACATATGTAACGTCCACTGAGTGATGGTGATAGCCCGACCCGATAGGTTGTATGACGTTTAATAATTTAATCTGTAACTTGTATGACGAGTGACTTGTTTTTCATTATATAAGTATGTTACATATTTATTGATATTTGTACATGTAATTGACTTAAATATTTTATAAATGTTGAGAGCAATTCAAATAAAAAAGGTAAAAAGTATGATACTTGCTGGAGAACGTTTGAAGGACTAGTGATTGTGGGCTAGTAGTTAAAGTGTCTGCCTTTCGACCAAGGGGTCGTGAGTTCAAGTCTTACTCTGGACACGACCTTGTGTAACCTCAAAGGTTACTTTTGGAAGCCTACTCGAATGTGATTCAATATACATTATAATATATTGTTTCATAATTACACTTAAACGAAACTATTATGTTAAAGTCAGTCGTTTATTTCACGAGTTACTTTGAGACATAATTATAAGTAAATTTATATCTTTTACATTGAATATATTGTGATTATAAACCGCAAAATAGTTGAACTAATTCATTATTTAATCAAATATGAGAAGTCGCAGTAAATACTTGACTATTCTCAATAAATGCTGTGATAGTTACAAGTTAAAGTAATTTAAAATGCTATGTTGTTGTTTACTAAGTGCCAAAGTTGGAGTAATTCAGTAAAAGAAGAATAATGTGCTGGAGTTATGATTCTTCATAGATAACATTCGTTTATTATCATTATGATAAGTAACAAATTCCAAGTGAATGCCTAGTTATATGAGCCGCGTCATGACAAAACCAACATAATGGGTTTGCGACCAGCATGGATCCAGACGAGCCTGCGCATCCGCGCAGTCTAATCAAGATTCATGCTGTTCGCTAACAAACCCTATAGCAAGTAGAGAAACTGATAGCGAACAGTATGGATCCTGATCAGACTACGCGGATGCGCAGGCTGGTCTGGATCCATGCTAGTCGCAAACCCATTATGTTGGTTTTGTCGTGACACGGCTCATTTATAGAAACATCACTTGTAACCAGGAGTTTTACTAATTCACAAAGGGAAACAATTCAGTTATTATCCATGCAAGAGTAATTGATTTAATCAGTAACATTTCAAGTGAAAACTTTCAGTGGTATGGGGCTAAAGCTTACATATTAATCTTAATCAACTGATACAGTAACGGAAGCTCCTACATCGGGAAAGGAATAGTTCACACAATACATCAAATAGTCAAAGCTGATACGGCAAATGTGTCAAGAAACTATTAACTGGATAAAAACTGTCTGAGTAGTATGTCTCATATATAGTTGTAACAAACCGTCTTAGTCAGTCGGTATTTTCAAAAACAATAACCCATGAATCAAATGTGATTTGTAATCGCTTGTGTAAATGTCGTTTTTGAGTTTGTTGGTATACGAAATTATAACATAGAAATTCTTTTTTAACAATTAGGAGTTATTGCACTAAGGAAGTAATATAAAAAATGGTAAATTACCATCAGCATTGTATCTATCTAGACAATTGTGTACACCCGGAGTTTTACAAGGCTGAAAAATGTTTGTTGTATAGTTACTTTTGCCATGCGCATTTTTCCCGGCAGAATAAATCCAGTGTTCAGCATGGCGGAAAATTTCTTTACCATATCGGTTTCTCATATAATGTCCCGGATTACGTCCAAAATTAACCCATTGTCCGTCAAAAAGCACCTTTGTTGGTTGAATGCCGGCTTTAACTAATTCTTCACTGTCCAGAACTGGATGAGCAGTAAAGTCACCTTTGTAGCCGTTAACTGTTACTTTAAAATTATTTCTATACCCTAGTTTCGGTGGTTCCTCCATACAACATTCATATGCAAAAGGTTCAAACTTTACTCCTGATCTTTCATATAACTTTTCCATTTGGTGACATTTGGAACAGTTTGTAAGTGAAAATCTTATATCATAATCCAATTCCCAAGGTAGAGAACTACCGAATTTCAATGCACCCATCGCAGTACCTTCCTGAAGTTCACAAATCAAATCAACTTCCTCACAAGCTTTCATAATGAACTTTACAGCACCAGTGTTTAACTTTAAACCGCATGGTGATAATGCAAAAGATTTCCTACTTTGAGTGTCCTGGTGTTCACATCCTCGAGTTACCGTCCGTCCACTTGGAGTTATCATTTTTAATAAATCCCATCTTTGCATAAATTCTTTGTATAAAAACAGCGAATCGTCGACTTTGTCTTTTAAATGGAACATAGAATCAGGACACAACACCGCTTCATCTCCCCTTTGATACATCCCTAGATACCAGTCTTCGTACAGTCCATCATTCTCGTTAAAATCACCGAATACATTAGTTTTCAAATAAGAAGTAGAAGTGACAAACGGCCCTTGTATATAATCACAGAACAGGCACTCGTGGAACGATTCGTCGTATCCAGAAATATACTTTAAAGTGTAGTTTCTATAAACAGACTGAAAACAACCTTTATGCCAATGTCCATTTGGATAACGGAACGCCCCTCCTACTGCGACAACGTATAAACTTTCTAGTTCTCGGACCATTCTTTCTAATCTAGAATCATTGGTAAAAAATTCCACACCTTTAGCTATAAGAACGTATGGTGTTTTCACTTGATGAACTAAACTATTGAGAGCAAATCCTTCGTTTGTATAACTTGACTGCATAATATTCACGTGTGTGTATTTCTTTTTTAAACCATTATTAACTGGTCCGTTATTTAGTGCAATCAAAACCTTTACACCGTTTATAGCTTTAGACGCTGATGCTACAAATCTTTCTACAGGATCATTTTTTGATTCCAAATTATCCTGCTTCAAGTCAAAATACTTTATCACTGTAACAAGACTAGCTATTGGAGAACCGTAATTACACTGATCAACCTCAAACCCTTTGTAATACAACGGAAAACCAAATGCCCCACCCATGTAAGACTCTGGGCAAACATTTTCAGATTTTACGCTTGGTCTTTCAAACAAACCTTTCTCATCAATATTTAAATCTTTAAGTACATGCTTCATCACAGATAAAGCGTCTTTAAGATAACCAGATGTTTTGGATCCTCGAACATGTTTGTTTGCATTGTTTATAATCTTAGCTAGCGTAGCAACTTTTACACCTGTGCTTTGTCTAGCAATGTCCTTCATGTTTATATGATCGGGTAATTTGCTTGCTCGTTGTCTTGGTGGAATAAACAAAACTGGTTTCTGAAATGAAAATAAGTTTAATTTTACTTAAAAGTACATTTATACTTTAGTTCCTGCACAGTTTCTGGTAAATAAAAGTCCGTACATCAACAGAATGTTTCGATATGGAAGATAAGGAATAATATGCTCATCTGATAATTTAATTACTGTTAAAAATATTTGATTGTCAATTCTTGTATTTTAATCTTGTTCTTCAGATAGCTTTTATGTAGTCTCTTGGCAAAATGGTGATATGGTTGGGGGATTAGGGGCTTTAAAGATGGCCTAAAAGACAATGTAAGCAATTTGCTTCATGATGTTAGTACTATTTACCCTCTGTTTACCCTCTACATTTGTCACAAAATGAGTTTGATATAAATGCTAATATAAATCATTACAGTTTAACATAAGTAATTAGGAAATACAACATGTATTCTTAACATCTAAAATATAAGCATCTATACCAGGCTATTTACCGTACATACCAGTATTAAATGTAGTATATACGGAATGTGTACCGTGTATTCCGACGATGCATCTAAACCGGAATTACTCATTTGTTTAATATCGCAGTTGAAAGAACTTCACGAGAGGCGGCGTGGCCGAGTGATTAAGGCATTGGACTAGTTAGAAATCTGGATTGCTAGGCGCTATGGTTCAAATTAGCCCCCAACGCATCTCCCGTCTGAGGCAAGGCTTTGTCTTTTTAACCAAGAAATTTAACACGCATTGCTTAGTACTGGTTGGTTCAAGGAACGGACTCGAGAGTGTTTCAAAAAGCTAAAAGTTTCCAACATAATCGAACTAAAATACCATCGTATAAAAAACTAAAACACCTACGATAGAACATGTCCGATGAATAATTGAATATACATCCATTTGAAACACAAATATTGTTAAATTGTAATATTATTGAAAACGCAATAGATGTGTTTGCATCATTCATATATTTCATTCGTTCCTCTAACATTCCTCTTACATTATTGTATTGATAAAAACATAAAATAAATTTATTTTCAATATTATACAGTGTATGTATACTTACAAGTTCCATGTATGCCATGTACGAAGAAACTGTTATTAGAACAGATGCAACCCCGAGGAAAATGAAACATATCCTCCGTTTATTCTCCATCAATAGCGTCATTTCACTCACTGAAATAAAAGTTGATAATCAGTACTCTTTCAGAGCAAAAAGCAACATTTGTAATGAACAATTACGCATTGAGTTTCAGGTCAATTTTTAAAGATCTAGATCGTAAATTTAAAACCTTCAAAATACGGTTATTATTTTTAATGGGTAAGTTATTTTCCTGCCGTGACATATATCTTGCGAAACAAATAACTGTAAAACCCTCAATTAAGACCACCACCGGGACTGGTCCAAAGTGGTCTTAATTGCGGGATGGTCTCAATTATGGATTTTCTATCATTGCTTACATACTTTATGACAATGGTCTATTTTAGTCATTTTGTATGAACAATTAATATGTATCTTAACCTACAAGTATGATATAAAAGTACGTTATAATATTTAATCTGATGAGAGCAAAAACATATTTGTGAAAAATAATAATGTTAAATTCTCTTTGGTCTGATTTCAATATTAATTATTATATGATGTACATAATTCACATATCATATAGGAAATTAATTCTTCACAAAATAATTGTGCCGAAAGCAACATTAAACCACACTTTAAAATGTACTTTTTCAACTTTTTTCATAAAACAACCCAATAATAACATGTTTTGACACCTTGTGAAATCAAGTGTCGCATTCAAGCAGCTTATAACAAAATAAATGGTCTAAGTAGGTGTTGACTTTAAATGGTCTCAAATGTGGGTTCAAATGTAGAATATAACAAAGATTTGCGGCTGAATCTGGTGGTCTTAAAAGTTGATAAGCGGGGTGGTCTTAATTATGGATCATGTAACTATTGACTTAAAGAACAGAAAAAAATCGTTCTTTTAAAAAATGGTCTTAATAGAAGGGTGGTCTTAATTCCGGGTTGGTCTTAAATAAGGACTGTACATGTATACGTGTTGTGTTCGATCACCAATTGCAATCGTTGATATTCGTATATTTAAACAGTCTTACATACATTGGTCATATGAATGTTCCGCGTGTTTTTATTCTTGTTTATAGTCGTACTATAGACAGTTATATAAATTATCAGTAAATATTGAGGTCCATCTTAATCCTTTAATGACTGTCTAATTTTATAAAGATTGTTGATAAGGTTAATAACATGTTTAAAAGAAGAAAAAATCGGCTTAACTCAAACATACTGGATTTTTTTGATATCAACAGACATAAACATGTACATTGTAATCAGAACATGAATATAGTAATAAAGAATGTGAATTTTTAATTAGGGGAAGCGATAACTCGGCAATGTCTCTGGTGTTGGTATAGACCTTTTCGAAAACCTAGCTAAACACCGTTTTCCGGTACGTTGCGGATTTAGCTCTGGGGAATTTCACCAAATGAAGTACATAACACAGTTACATGATATTTCTATTTTTCTATCATTATTTACCGTTTAAGGTGAAAAAAATGATGTTTTTGAAAATTATCAATATTCCTTTAATATCTATTGCAAACTTTTGTAAAAAATAAATTGTTTATAATGAAAATCAATAAAATTTAAACAGACGTAGTGGAATCTTCCATAATAACTAAGGTTATTTTCTGCGTAAACTTGTGTATTTATTTTATTTTTTTGTATGGAATTATTCATACAATGATATTCAATTATTTTCTTATAAAGAAATAACTGTTTTATTTCAATTTAATTTTAAAAAAGGCCGAAAACATCGAGTTCGCTATTACACTCCATTAGGTGAATTCCCCAGAGCTATGTACAGAAAGTACCGGAAAACGGCGTTTAGCTAGGTTTTCGAATTCGTGAATTCGTAGTTTACCTTCCGGATCACGACAGTAAGCCACATTCAATTTAACTAAGCACAGTTCAGTCACCGCATCGTTCATAGGCAGGCTGTCAAGCAGTTAACCAGCACTACTTGCCTTCACTTTCGCAAGTAAATGACAAGTAAAATGGTTTCCTGCGGGGAACATTTTTAATGATATAAAGATATTTCATTTAACTATTTTCAACATTGTTTGGGGGGAAATAAATAAACGTTTGTATCAGGAATATAGTTGAATTCAATGATCATGTAACTATTGACTTAAAGAACAGAAAAAATCGTTCTTTTAAAAAATGGTCTTAATAGAAAGGGTGGTCTTAATTCCGGGTTGGTCTTAAGTAAGGACTGTACATGTATATTCGTGTTGTGTTCGATCACCAATTACAATCGTTGAAATTCGTATATTTAAACAGTCTTACATACATTGGTCATATGAATGTTCCGCGTGTTTTTATTCTTGTTTATAGTCGTACTATAGACAGTTATATAAATCATCAGTTATTATTGAGGTCCATATTAATCCTTTAATGACTGTCTAATTTTATAAAGATTGTTGATAAGGTTAATAACATGTTTAAAAGAAGAAAAAATCGGCTTAACTCAAACATACTGGATTTTTTTGATATCAACAGACATAAACATGTACATTGTAATCAGAACATGAATATAGTAATAAAGAATGTGAATTTTTAATTAGGGGAAGCGATAACTCGGCAATGTGTCTGGTGTTGGTATTCGTAGTTTACCTTCCGGATCACGGCAGTAAGTCACATTCAATTTAACTAAGCACAGTTCAGTCACCGCATCGTTCATAGGCAGGCTGTCAAGCAGTTAACCAGCACTACTTGCCTTCACTTTCGCAAGTAAATGATAACATGCCAGAGCAGAGGTACAGTCCGATTCACCACTCAGCGCTCTACCAATTGAGCTGTACGGACGGTCGGATAATGTGTCTACATCAGGGATTATACCGTGACTTCGACCACTACTGGGGTCATGACACAATTTTCTTGCCACTAGATATGGTAAGTTCCAGGTAGCAGTCTCGAAAATGGTCAAAAATGCTTCCTGTATCAGCTTTTTTCGACAAATGAATTTATGTTAAACTAATGCTATAGAAAATCATAAAGTACCCACGGTTTTGCAGTATTCGATTTCTAAATCCTTCCTTTTATCAGAATAAAATACATGTATCACAATGAATCAAAATAACACAGCCATCAAATATATTGCCTACACATGTTACAAACTGACAAAAGATATGCTCAATCTTTTATAAGATCTTTCATCTTTGTTAAATTTCATTTAAACCGTCGTGTCTTTTCACGTTGTATATGCGAAATTGAAAATATTGGTAATACATTGTTACGGTATTATAAAAGATTAATTTCGGATTACTTTATTTTTCTGCTTGAATAAACATACAATTGTGGAAAGGAAAATTTGAAAAGGCAGTTTAATTATGTCTTTATTTTTTGTTATTTAAATATTTATTTACATAAAAATATTTCTATATTTAGATCTCTAAATTTATTCAATTAAATATATATTTGTTTACTTATTATAAAAAGAAAATATTTTTAAATATCTATTTAAATTATATATTTGTTTTATTTTTTATGTTTATTTATTGGGATCTATTGATTGATCGATCGATCGATCGATCGATCGATCGATCGATCGATTGATTGATTGATTGATTGATTGATTGATTATAGCATACTGGTCCAAATGACTTGTTTAAACCTATTTTGTTTCAGTTTATTTTGATTCATTGACACATACATATAGTTCATCGTCATACATGATAATTTGTATATTGGCACGTGTCAACCCTATTTTAAACAAATCGAAAAACATACGCACGCGCTCTCGCAGAATACCTACAAACACACACTATCAAGCACAAGTACACACAGACACACTCACCACTTATTTTTATCAATACAGGATATGTGACATATAACTTTTCTTAACATATCATGTTAATTATGTACTAAAATTTATGTTAAATGTCACGATTAGTTCCACATATACAGAATTACAGCAACAACCTTGCACAAGTCTAATAAGGGGCCATGATTCTGTCAAGATGTAAGTCAGTGTGAAAAACCTCATTTTGCCGAATCACTATTTTGGAAGCAGGCAGGTAACTTACTTTTTGAGTAAATCATCTTTCATCATTTCATTATGTTCTTAGCATGTTAAGTTAGGAATCTAAAGAAACAAAAAGGTTAACTTAAACGTTTGCAGTTGGTTAGTTAGTTGCTTTGTTGTTGTTGGTGGTGGTGGGTGATATTGCATTATGTACTTAGCTTTTTTGCATTTTTTCTTTCAATGTTTACAAATATTATCTTTTATATAAAGAGTTACTGACAATGTGGAAATGGTGAGTTTGGTGTGTAACGGCTGTGAGTCTTCTGGTATAAAAATAATGAGATAAATAATGACAAAAAGAATTATACAAAGAATGACATAAAAATGTCGTAAAAATATATAAAAACAAACATTAAACATGACAAAAAGAATGAAGTATAAATGGCATAAAGAATGACACAGAATAAGACAAAAGATGGTATAAAGAATGGTACAAAAATGACATAAAGAAAGAAATAAAATATGACAAATGGTATGAAAAATGGTTTTTGAGTAAAAATGACAAAAAGAATGACAAAAAGAATGACATGAAGAATGATATAAAGAACGGTATAAGAATGGCATAAAAATGGCATAAAGAAGGACATAAAGAATAACATAAAGAAAGGAACAAAAATGGTGTTTTAATAGGTTAGCTGTTTCTCAAGCCTTGTCAAAAGTTTTAGCCGAACCAATTTGCATATAAACACATGCATATGTCTTTTTGATATAAGTATTATAACTGCTAAACGAATATTATCATTTCTTACAACCTTTTATATACATGTATCAGATTAACGCACTGCTTTCTCTGTGTGTTTTATGAAGCAATCATATTAATATAACAATAACACTATTTGAGCCGCGTCACGACAAAACCAACATAATGTGTTTGCGACCAGTATGGATCCAGACCAGCCTGCGCACCCGCACAGTCTGATCAGGATCCATGCTGTTCGCTATCAGTTTCTCTACTTGTAATAGTGTTTGTAAGCGAACAGCATGGATCCTGAGCAGACTGCGCGGATGCGCAGGCTGGTCTGGATCCATGCTGGTCGCAAACGCACTATGTTGGTTTTGTCGTGACGCGGCTCATTTTATCTTAGTGTGCATCATATGTGCCTCAACCCTCATTACATCTCAATACAGCCTCTACGCATCCACGGAATATGTCGTCTTATCAGATTATTGTGAAATTATATGATTAATTCAGCGTTTGACAACATAACTTGTTTTATTGAACATTTATTTAACAAAATAGCATGTTTCATTGATTATTGGCAGAATAAGTCGATTTCCCGATTGTTTGACAAAATTACATAAATGCATGTCATTTGGTGTATGACAAAATTACATGGCACATGGTTGAATTTATATGGAACGAAATAGCTATGTTCTCTGACATAAGATGACAGTCAATCGAGTAACCAAAGCATGATATTTTGACATAACAATATATGTAAAATTGAAACCCTCAGTCAGCCTAAAACAATTAATGTTATTATGTAGCTTGAGTACCACATTTATTTGACAGAATAACACCCAAAACAAATCTCAGTACCTGTCTTTAAATACCCTTATATATTCTTGTTTGTGCCCTTATTTATTTCATTTTTTTTTCATTATTTACTGAATTTGAATTAACATTATGCGATCCTATTATTTTTCAATATTTTGTTCGCTTTTAATCGACCTCGAGGTATTTGATTATAATACCCGTAGATCGTTATATATTTCTTTTATAGACACAAATCACAAACACAATTTGCGTGAAGTACAGCAATTTTATTTTTGTTTTATTTTTTATTCAATCCATACGTGCACAAATCTTTTATCATTAATAGATCTTAGTCCCTACCTAAGCAAAATACACTGAACAAAACTTATAAACCGCATCGAATATTTTAGAATTAATGTGATAACTTTCAGTAAAACTAGCAAACGATTGCATGTGGGGTAAGTACATTTAATTCCAATTATCCATTAGAAATTTCATTAACGTTTAACAATGATTAACAAGAGGGTGAAACATGGCGACCGAAACTTAACGAAAGAGTGTTCTATCGGCATGTGCTTAAAAGAAATGTAATAAATACTTCGTAAGAAACAAATATAGAATTTTCCTTACTAGTAAATTGCATAAAATTTATCCCTGCGAAGCCTTGGAGATATACTTTAAAAAATTGCCTTGAGCATCAGATTTAGTTTAATTTTTTGTATTAATAGTATCACGTTAACACTTTAAGTCTTGGTTAAAGAACATGGATATTTGGAATAAATTGTGCTAACCTACATTGTAATCATTATTTAGTTTTGCTCAAAGGTATAACCAAAATTCCAAAATAAGCAGGGGGAGTTAATAAGATTTTTATTTACGTTTAACTCATTTAGTCGCTAGTTTGTTTCTTTTTTAATATACGAAAAACAAAGTGGTACTTAACTTTCAATAACATGTTCATAAGTAATATATCTACAAACTAAAATAACAAAAAGATTCTATACTACATGTAAGTTTATTTGTGTTTCGCTATGGGAGTAATTCTGTAAATTGTAAATTTCCATCAGCATTGAACCTATCCAAGCAGTTGTGAGCACCTGGTGAAGTACAACGTTGGAATATATTTGTTGGATAGTCAAACCTGTGATGAGCCCCTTTAACACCACTAAACATCCAGTGCTCAGCATGGCGGTACATTTCTTTACCATATCTGTTTCGCACAAATAGTCCTGGATTCCGAGCAAAATTTACCCATTGTCCGTCATAGAGCACTTTTGTAGATTCTAAACCATCCCTGACAGGGTCATCACTTCCCAATAGGGGATGACCTGTAAAATCACCCTTGTATCCATTTACTGTTACTTTGTAATTTATTCTATCCCCTAACTTAAGCTTTTTAGTACAACAATCTGATGCAAAAGTGGCAAATTTTATATTTGCTTTTGTAAATGCTTGCTCTAATTGTTTGCATTTGGAACAACTTTCAAACGAAAACCTTATATCATAATCTAATTCCCAAGGCAGAGATCTTCCGAACTTGGCTGCTCCAAGCGCCGTGCCCTCCTGTAATTCACAAGTTATTCCAACTTCTGCGCATTTCCGCATGACAGTTTTTACAGCTTCGTTGTTTGATCTCAAAGCACATGGTGATAATGCAAGTGACTTTCTACCTTGAATTCTCTGATTTCTACAATCTCTAACTAGTGTTCTTCCTTCCGCTGTAACCATTTTAAACAAGTCCCACTTCTGCAAAAAGCCGGTCATGGGATCAGATTTCACGCCATCTTGGCTTCGCATATGAAACATTGAATCAGGACATACCACTGTTTCTTCTCTCTTTTTGAAAATCTTAAGAAACCAGTCTTCATACAGCCCATTGTTTTCATTATAATCACCGAATACATTACTTTTCAAATATTTAGAAGTAGTTAAGAAAGGTCCTTGTATATAATCACAGAACAGGCACTCGTGGAACGATTCGTCGTATCCAGAAATATACTTTAAAGTGTAGTTTCTATACATCAACTGATAGCAACCTTTATGCCAATGTCCATTTGGATAACGAAAGGCCCCTCCTACTGCGACGACATTCAAGCTTTCTAGTTCTCGGACCATCCTTTCTAATCTAGAATCATTGGTAAAGAATTCTACACCCCTTGCAATTAGAACATAAGGTGTTTTTACTTGCTTAGCTAAACTGTTGAGAGCAAATCCCTCGTTTTTATACTTTGATTGTAATAAACTAACATGCGGGTATTTGTCTTTCAAATTAATTGAACCACTTCCGGAATTAATAGCAATCAAAGTCTGTATACTATTTATGGTTTTATACACCGAGGCGACGAATTTTTCCAATTCATCGGATGCAGATTTCAATTCATTCTGTTTTATGTCAATATATTTTATCACTGTTACAAGCTTATTTAACGGCAAATTATAGTTACATTTGTCAACCTCAAACCCTTTGTAATACAACGGGAAACCAAATGCACCGCCCATATAAGATTCTGGGCAAACACTTTTAGATTTTACACTAGACCTTTCAAATAAAGCTTTTTCGTCAATAGCCATCTCTTTCATAATAAGTTTCATCACATATAATGCGTCCTTAAGATAACCGGATGTTTTTGACCCTCGGACATGTTTATTAGCTTTGTGTATTAATCTAGCCGCAGTAGATATTTTCTCTTTTGTACCTTGTTTGAAAACAGCTTTGACCTCTTCATGACTAGGTCTCTGATATTGTGAATGTGTAGATTCAGCTGGAATAGGTTCACTTAATGTTGACTGGAAATATAATGAAGCTTTTGTTAACAAAATTAAACATCAATTGTTTGGGCTGTACGACATAAGTCTCAGTCAATCAACATTTTATCAAAACAAAGAATCGAATGGTTCGGTATCTGTTTCTTTTAGTCAATCAGTACAAAATATAGGCTCTAAACTTTCAATTGTCATAATGAAAAACAGGATTTAATATAAAATAGATATGTTCTCAAAAGAACATGATAAGAACAAGAATCCTGAAAGTGTTTATTTCCAAAAGCGGTCTTTTAATTTTCCTATTTTAATGTTACATATACATGTAATGCTTTCTGTCACAATCGAGTGTTTTTTAGAATCTGTACCAACATTAACCTAATTTTCAGAAACTAATATTTACCTTCGACTAAAATAGAAATTAAAACAGCTTCAAAGGACGAATGAATGTAACATATTGTTATTGTTGGAAACCAAAACAACACATAATGCACGCGCAAAGCCAGGGGGGTCGTAATAGCGAAGTCTTAGTATATAGAGAAAGAGTTGTCCACCCCGAGCAAATTTAGAAAATTGTCTGCCACAATATTTAAGGTTTTGTAAATAGTAGAAGTCTCCTGCGTGATTGTTTATTAAACATTGATCTTTCATTTGGTAGTTACATTCATATCATATAATGAAACGTATGTCACAGGATGAGAAAAATGTGCAGCCTGACCGGGACTCGAACCCGGGACCCTCGAAATACCGTTCCGCGGCTCTACCGACTGAGCTATCCGGCCGCTTACACATCTTCTCCCCCTATATAGTGAACAGTTCTGAACCGTGACACGTATATACGGGCTTTATAGAAGGACATGGCGGATTGAAAATGTGAATTAAATATTAAATATGTATACTAACTTCCTGAACGGACAGCATGCGTGAACCGATCGTCAGAAATACCAAAATCACCACAATGATAATAAGCACAAGTTTCCACTTCTTCTCCATGATTAACGAGGTTGCTGCCTTTGAAAACAAAGAAAAGAATAAATCAAAATTTATCTTGATTTCCGTGAAAAACCATTCACTTCATTTTGTTGAGAAAAGCATTCGCTCCACTTCGTTGGTGTAAGCCTTCACTTAATTTTGTCGAGAAAAGCCTCAATGAAATGTGTTGATAAAAGCCTCCACTTCATTTGGTTGTGAAAAGCGACGAGTCAAAAGATGTCTGTCTTTATGTCTCGTGTCAGAGTACATTTTTCTTGAAAAGAAGTTAGTATTAGACTACTGTTTTCTGAACCGAGCGTGTCTAAATGTTGCATGCTAACTTAGTCGTTACAACATACTTGTTTACACAACGATACATTCATTTTCATCTTTACTGGACCGTTTGGGAATCGAATGCATTTTATGTGAACACATCTGAGAGAAGGTAACTCAAAAAGATTATATTCTTAAAGGGTACTGTACATTTTACATTTTATTTTAGCCCCTAAGAAGTTCAAATATATCATTGAAACATAATTAGTCTAAGTAAATAATAATTAATACCCGTTTAGTTCCGAGTTTAGCTCGTTCATGCTTTAAAGTGAATTGGTCTATAATGGAAGGTCTGTTAAATGTTAGATATTTACGTTGATAGTGATAGTATTCAGTATCACTCATAAAAAACACGAAAGAATCATACATGATCCGATATAACATATATTTATATATCAGATTATAAATTGTTCTAGACCAAAATATTATAATTATTCACCAATAAAATGGTTATATTACATCACATAGAACTTATAAACATTTTTCCTTTCAAGCAATAGTTTACATGAATATCCAAATTATGCATTTATATAATTTTGCTTTATCAATATTTGAAATACGTATGGAAAATGTGCCCATTGTAGACCAATTCACTTTAAGATGTTGAAGCGAACTGTTTATTGCTTATCCGTCTCAACTTTAACAACAAATCTCATAAGAACCTGATTGTTGATAAAATCAGGAGGAGAACAGTATAACAAAGTGGCTAGGAAAGGTAATACATACGTGGAAACATTAAACAGTGTTAAAGTAATTGCTAACCAAAATAATTTGAGTAAATAGGATAGCAATTTCCATTTAGCGATCAGTCGTTTCATTTTTGTTAGAAGACGTTTTTTTCTTATTTCAGCTGACCATAATAAAAACCAAACAAATTGATTTCCCAAACACATGATAAGAGCATTAAGAGGACCATCTAGGAAATCTGCTGGTCATTCACTCATCAGTTTATGAGAAATTGCTGTTAAAAGATATTTTATACAAAGTCTTTAACTTGGTCGAAGTGATACTGGTGAAGAATTGATAACGACCTGTTCATTCGTTCAAAGTTAAAATGGATCAGTATTTGCAAAGAATAACATTGCAATAGCTGAACGCCGGAGCGTCTGACTTATCAAAGAAAAATAAACAAAAAATATCATACCCGGGACCAAGAGAGTGGTAATTATATTAGATCCTGTCCTGATTCACAAAAAAAATCCGTTTTTATTTTACTCTATATTCATTTTTAATTTTTAATACATATGACTCAATATTCCTGGTCAAAGCAAATAAATCGCCACTTTAAACACATCAATAACTGACCATACCATTATGAAAGTAAATATGTTTAAACACGTTTTAAATAGTACTATTGATTGTCTACATAAAACCCATTTATAGCATTGAATACAATGGTAATGTCACTTCACTTCGAAAATAAATTGAAAATATTTGTAATGTATTGTTGAGAGATTAATTTCGGATTAGTCTCTATGCTCTGGTTGAATGCACTTTAAGGTGGAATTTATTTATTCATTTATTTATCTATTTATTTATTTATTTTGTTTGTTTGTTGTTTGTTTGTTTGTTTGTTTGTTTGTTTGTTTGTTTGTTTGTTTGTACGGAAACGTATACTGTCGTATTTAGTTAAACAACTGTTCTAAAACGTTACAGCCAATATTCGAGAAAATACATATTTGACATGATATTTATAAGCTGCAATTGTTAGTTTTATTTAAACAGATAAGAGCAAGAGTGCTTTAACAAGACTTAAAATATTTCGCACTATATATCGGGATGAAGCATATTATTTTCTACCCGCGCTAGTAGTGTAGAGGAGAAGTGAAGAGAGTGGAGTTGAAGAGGTCATACAGAAGGTATTTTTATGCCATAGTTATATACAGCAGAATGAAATCTGTATAAAAGCATTTTTTAAATATTTCTAACATTGTCTTAGAATTATTATTGTGATATTATAAAGATTACAATCACTATTACAGTCATTTTCGAGTAACCTGCCATTTGTTTTCTTGTCAATTCAAGGGCAGATAACCTAATCTTTATGTCTCGTGTCAGAGTACATTTTTCTTGAAAAGAAGTTAGTATTAGACTACTGTTTTCTGAACCGAGCGTGTCTAAATGTTGCATGCTAACTTAGTCGTTACAACATACTTGTTTACACAACGATACATTCATTTTCATCTTTACTGGACCGTTTGGGAATCGAATGCATTTTATGTGAACACATCTGAGAGAAGGTAACTCAAAAAGATTATATTCTTAAAGGGTACTGTACATTTTACATTTTATTTTAGCCCCTAAGAAGTTCAAATATATCATTGAAACATAATTAGTCTAAGTAAATAATAATTAATACCCGTTTAGTTCCGAGTTTAGCTCGTTCATGCTTTATTGTGAATTGGTCTATATTTAAATGTTAGATATTTACGTTGATAGTGATAGTATTCAGTATCACTCATAAAAAACACGAACGAATCATACATGATCCGATATAACATATATTTATATATCAGATTATAAATTGTTCTAGACCAAAATATTATTATTCACCAATAAAATGGTTATATTACATCACATAGAACTTATAAACATTTTTCCTTTCAAGCAATAGTTTACATGAATATCCAAATTATGCATTTATATAATTTTGCTTTATCAATATTTGAAATACGTATGGAAAATGTGCCCATTGTAGACCAATTCACTTTAAGATGTTGAAGCGAACTGTTTATTGCTTATCCGTCTCAACTTTAACAACAAATCTCATAAGAACCTGATTGTTGATAAAATCAGGAGGAGAACAGTATAACAAAGTGGCTAGGAAAGGTAATACATACGTGGAAACATTAAACAGTGTTAAAGTAATTGCTAACCAAAATAATTTGAGTAAATAGGATAGCAATTTCCATTTAGCGATCAGTCGTTTCATTTTTGTTAGAAGACGTTTTTTTCTTATTTCAGCTGACCATAATAAAAACCAAACAAATTGATTTCCCAAACACATGATAAGAGCATTAAGAGAACCATCTAGGAAATCTTATGGTCATTCACTTATCAGTTTATGAGAAATTGCTGTTAAAAGATATTTTATACAAAGTCTTTAACTTGGTCGAAGTGATACTGGTGAAGAATTGATATCGACCTGTTCATTCGTTCATTAGAAGATATTTACATTTGTTTTTTTTTTAAATTTTGACTTGGGTGGCACCTGAATTGTCTTTATTGGTTTAACAAGGTAAAATAGTGTAAATAGCAAAACAAAGAATACACGTTCATACTTAATCAAAGTTAAAATGGATCAGTATTTGCAAAGAATAAAATTGCAATAGCTGAACGCCGGAGCATCTGACATATCAAAGAAAAATAAACAAAAAAATAACATACCCGGGACCAAGAGAGTGGTAATTATATTAGATCCTGATTCACAATCCGTTTTATTTTACTCTGTATTCATTTTTAATTTTTCATACAGGTGGCTCAATATTCCTGGTCAAAGCAAATAAATCGCCACTTTAAACACATCAATAACTGACCATACCATTATGAAAGTAAATATGTTTAAACACGTATTAAATAGTACTATTGATTTTCTACATAAAACCCATTTATAGCATTGAATACAATGGTTGTGTCACTTCACTTCGAAAATAAATTGAAAATATTTGTAATGTATTGTTGAGAGATTAATTTCGGATTAGTCCTATGCTCTGGTTGAATGCACTTTCAGGTGGAATTTATTTATTTATTTATTTTGTTTGTTTGTTTGTTTGTTGTTTGTTTGTTTGTTTGTTTGTTTGTTTGTTTGTACGGAAACGTATACTGTCGTATTTAGTTAAACAACTGTTCTAAAAAGTTACAGCCAATATTCGAGAAAATACATACATGTATTTGACATGATATTTATAAGCCGCATTTGTTAGTTTTATTTAAACAGATAAAAGCAAGAGTGCGTTAACAAGACTTAAAATGTTTCGCACTTTATATCGGGACGAAGCATATTATTTTCTACCCGCGCTTGTAGTGTAGAGGAGAAGTGAAGAGAGTGGAGAGTTGAAGAGGTCATACAGAAGGTATTTTTATGCCATAGTTATATACAGCAGAATGAAATCTGTATAAAAGACTTTTTAAAATATTTTTAACATTGTCTTAGAATTATTATTGTGATATTATAAAGATTACAATCACTATTACAGTCATTTTCGACTAACCTGCCATTTGTTTTCTTGTCAAATCAAGGGCAGATAACCTAATCTTTAGTCTGACACACCTTATTTTTACAACTGTAAAGGATATCTATGCTCATTGTACTTACTTATTTACTTATTTAAACACAATATATAATATTCTGTATCAGTTTAATCATTATGACACTAAACGAGGCTTGTTTGGAAAATTTGTTTAATTTCTTTGTTAAATACTCAATAACCACAAGAAACATTTCATTTTATTTGTCATTCTTGGTACGTATTTCCATTCTAAAATGCGCTAAAATGACGCCATTTTCACGGAGTTCATTCATAAAATATGATTAAATATTAATGACGCCACTCAAAATCATACGACTCATCTGGCCCCACATTCGGAACTGCCTCGGCTATTATCTACAATATTAATAATATACAATACGGATTGAAAGTAGTTCTACCACGTGGTTTACAGATGTAAACAGAAACAGAGATAATGTAAAACGAATGTATATATTTGACACCTAATGTCTGTTCCGGTACTCTTATGCTTGAAAATATGTCCGACAACAATTTGTTATTTAAATATGCCCTCTGATGTTCAATTTTAAATAAATCCGACCAAATGTCAACAGGTTGGTTTTTTGAACTTTCGGTTTCACAGCCATATTAGTAAATATATAAATAATGTATTGTTTGCTTTTGTACCTATGAATTCACTTATTTCAGGTGGACTTTTACTACATATATTGGAAATAAACATGTCAACAACTCCCAGCATTAAATTACTATTTGTTTACATGTTTAGTTTCTTAGCGTAGGTTAGACCGGAATACTGCATCCGTTCTGTGTATTCATACTATTGTGTTCGAGGTCCTTATCCGAAGACTGACGGAAAGGGCCGAGTAGTTGCGATTGCTGGCCCCAATATCAGTTTGACAGAAACACATGACATGTATTTGCGTTAATCTAGAATACCTTCCCATTGGCAGCAACGCGGTCAGCCTCGTTACTGCTAAATGGATGGGTAACTTCGAGATGTATTTTCCAATCCAAACTGCAAGATATTCATGACTACTTTATAGTTACAAGGCAATAGCCTACAACACTGTTTCCTAGTTACAGAGAACTGTTCCCTAGTTACAGGATAATAATGCGCACATGACTATTTCCTAGCAGCGTAAGTGCAACATGACACAGTTCCCTAGGGCAAGAAGCATTTATTTAATTTACAGTTTATAGTTATTACAGTGTAGTACATAGCATATGACTGTTTTTCAGTCACAGAACAATAGTCAACATATGACTGTTTGCCAGTGACAGGGCTATGGACTGTATTTGACGGTTTCTTAGTTTTCATAACTGCTTCCATAAACGGCATGTTAGATTTTTCAATAGTATTAGGGCAAAAAACCACACAATAGTGGAAGGGCAACATTTAATTACATGCTTGTACTCTGATTTTGTTGAGGTTTGGGTCCATCCAGAGTCCATCATGTATACAGTGGAGTACATGTACTTGCATCAAACATTTTCAAATACAGTAATTTTTAAGGCAACCTTTTTTCTTTGGTCATAATGTTATCATGACACGAACTTAAACGTACAAAAATATGTAAATTACTATCAGCAATGGCATATTTGTCAATTCCTTTGTCTTTCTTAACATGCAGATTGGTAATGGGGACTAGCGTGAACCTTAGCCTTCTGATATGGGAATAGTAGAAATTAAAATAAAACTCTTTCAATGCAGTTTAGCATCTTTATTAGACCTAAAATGTTTTACAAGACTTACGTCGGAATGAAATAAGGATCACATTAATCATTTATGATTTATCATATACTGTTTATCACATAAGGAATTGTATAAACAGTACAAAAATTATCTTACAGTCAATTTTATAATGAAATTATCGCATTCACTTTGTAAAAATTTTTAAACATGTAATGTTCAACTAACAAGGGAATAATGTAACGATTTTTATTAATCTGTTGGAGATCCCCTCTCTAAGACATTCGTATTAGAAGTCGTTTTTATTTTTAAATTACGTAACAAGAAACTGTAAAAAATGAATTATGCTTCCTTAATTGGTTAATTTCACAGAAATATTAGCTGTCAATCACAGTTCCACTGC